TACTTTTTCAGTTTTCTGATAATAGAACGGAAATATTACTTTAAGAATATTAAAGAACTGTAAAAGCTCGTCCTATTTAGCAACTTTTTTAAACAATTTGGGGACGTTTTTAACAAAATGACTTTTCAGCGCTGCTGTAAATTCGAAATTTGAACTTCTTTCACTGAAAAACTATTGAGTTTTCGAAAAATTTCATTTCAAATCGTTTGAAGAACTTTCCCTCACAAATAAAATAATGTTGACAAATTGCTGAAAATAAACGTGAAATTGCGAAAATATTAGCGGCGTAAGAGATCTTCCAAAAAAAACATTTGTGTAATTTTTGGAAAAACAAAAAATACCCCAAAACGAGCTTTACGTCATGTTAAAGAGTGCAATTAGCACTATTGTTTCGAACAGTTTGAAGAAAAGAATTGAAGCCATTTCTGAGAAAATGGCGTTTGAGCGTTTCCGAAGATACGAATTTTTCAGCTAATTTTCACAGAAAACGGTTTAGTTTTCGAGAAGATTTATGTAACATTATTTAAAGCATATGTAATCATAAATATAACAAAGTGAACAATTTGTCGCTAATTTAAATATTAACGACGTGAGAGACAAAACATTACATTTTTGTAATTATTGAAAAAGCAAAAAGATATAGCAATATGACATCTTATAGTATTTTTAGCACAATCCTTACCAACAGTTTTGAGAAAAATATTAGAGCCGTTTTTAAGAAAATATTGTTTTTGTATTTTTTTTTTAAATCGCTCATATTCCTTGCAATATTGCGAGAAATCTACTACAATTTTCAAACCACTGTACATGTCCTTAATGAAAGAACAAATTATGAACAACAAATTTTATTTCAAGGTAAAATTACTATATTTTGTAGTTGTAGGAAACCCGAAACAAATTCAAACTTTTGAAATTTTCAAAAATTCAGAGACAACCGTGAAAATCGGACCTATGCCACCTTTATAAATAAATTTTTCTCTATTCATAAAAGAAATTAAAAGAAAATAATTGTGGCCCTTTTTGAGAAAATTTTGAAAATTTCCCATGGCTTTCATGTAAAGTACCCTCAAAAACTAATGATAGATTTTCAAAATCGCATAGCTTCGACTCAAGCTACATGGACAGGGGCTTCTTCAATTTTGAAAATACTACGCAGGGTTTAAGCGCTAGTGTTGTTCACATTCACCAGACGGACGAACGATTTGAAAAAAAAGAAAAGAAAAAAAAAATACTTTAACGGTATCTGGGGACCCCAAACGCGCATTTTAGTTGAAATCTAGAAATTGATTTTGCATTAAATGACGTTCCCTATATTACGTGTATTACTCCGAATATACGTACGTAGACGGGAAAGTAAAAATATCAGTTTTCCGGGCCTACGGGAGTTATTACAGATTAGTTCGAAAAAATGGGGGGGTTACTAGTGCCTGGGTACATACAACATAATCAAAGAAAAAGGTTTTATGACCATTTTCCCGGTATTTCCCCTTTTTCAGTGCTTGCTGACAAGACTACCAACACCACTGTTATATTCATTTCCTATCAATCTGAGGCATATATCACGTGTGTAAGTTTATTATTGGGCCTGGGCCCACTGCTCTTACTCTCTCTCAATTAATTTTTATTTCTATCATATCTATTTAATTGGTTTTCTCGGTTTTGGATGTATACATGGAGCGTTATAATACTTACACTCTCAGGGTTGTATTTGTCTCTTTTTCGTGGGCTCCAAATCTACCGCTCTTATGAGAATAGGACTAGTGAATTCTTCTATTATGATAAGAATTTACTAATTTGTTGGTTCTAACTATTGAAATAATGTCTTTAATTAATTTATATTCCAGGGCCATGAAGTATTGGCTGCCATTTATTTCTTTGAATTATCTTTCCTTCCTAATCAATTATTAACGAGAATTTGTACTGATTTAATTTATTTTCTCTACCTAATGACCACGATGATGATGATGGCCATCATAAATTTATTGTAATTAATTTCTAAAAAAATTCCTTTTTCCCTCCGGGATTAAAAATTCCTCCCCTCCTACCACTCCCAGAATTTCAATCTGAGAAAGGAAGAACGTTTGTACCGTAAACCTAAGAGAATACTTATACGTTAGTTAAAAACTAACCTTCAACAATAAATACAAATTGTCAAAAGCTTCTTTAGAGAATCTTTAAAATTCAAACGTTGTAAAAGTCTTAGTTTTCTTTTGACTATTAGGCTTTTCCATGCCTCTAAAAAATCCAATCAATTTATAATATCTAAAAATCTCAACATCAATTAAAGCGTTAAACACGTACGTACATTTTCCTTAAAACGTTACCTTGATGTCGCCATCGAATAATACCTCCAAAACCTTGAAGACTTGTCTGTTTTTGATTTATTGTTAAAATACACAAGTACAATTGCTTCTGAATCTTACTTCCCTGTCATTTCTCCATTTGCAGAAATATTCGTACTATTTTTGCAGATTTGCCTCGATTTTTCAGAGAATATTTTTCAAAACATCACATTCTGCTTCTTTCGTGATAACATTGGGAATTTTTAGATATTTATCTCCAGGGTCTAAATAATATGTATCGCTTGTCCGATTCAAAAATTCTTCCATTCTTCCATGCAGAATGCAAACCAGCTGAAATCACATCCACCTAAAGGTGACTCCGAGAAGGATGCCCGCCGCCTACTGTACTGCTTGGTCCGTGGCATACGTGGGCACGCGCAGCAATATTCTCTAAAAATAAAATTTTGTATATGACATGGGGTTTACCGGAGCTTTATTCTCTCTGGAGAATTATGTCCTATGGAGAGTATGTTTAAAACACTTGTTAAACAAATAACTATTATGTAAAACCTTATACTTATTATTTCTTTTTGTAATAATGAGTTATATCTTAATATTTAAAAATTAGTTATGACTACACCAGATGCGAGGAATACTTAAAGGCATAAAATAATTTTACCCCTTTCCCATTTTCACTCTCTTTGCTCCTCTTAAACATCCGCGTTAAAGAAGTGAACCAGAAACGTTTACATATCCATGCTCATTCGCTATGGCTGAACGAAAAATGCTGGCAGTAAAACCGTACTTTCGTGTCTGACTTACACGTTATATATCAACAAATCCATAATAGTGAAAGTGAAGTTCGTTATTTTTCAAAGGCTTTCATTGAATACCTCATTTTTTCAGATCGTTTGGCTGCGAGACTCAAGCTTCACTACAGAAAAGCTAATAAATTATATTTCTAGTCAATATAGTACAGGTATTTCAAATACACCAATCACGCTACTTGTCTTGAAATCTCAATTAACCCAGGCTGCTACAATATTTGCTCTGATCTGCGAAGCAAATTTTCAGACCAAATGCTATATTTTCCACTTGTAATCTTCAGTGGCGAAGCTGAAAAGTGTATCTTGGGAAAGGAATGAATGGAAGCCTTAGAGAATATCCAAATAATTTTTTCAACAAAATTATATTAAATATATATGTGTGTGCCATTTTTCTTTTTTTTTAATACTGAATCGTCGAAGAAAAATGTGTTCGAATCCTTTTCCCCACTTCCGCGGAAAGGAATTAGCAGGAGCGGTATAGAGCGATTTTTATAAGAATAAGTGACAGTTCGCTAAACAAGTGAACGTCACATATAATTCAGAGAAGTATCCCTCCGCCGCAACAGCTGTTTAGTGTTTGTTTACGGCTCCCGTGAAGATAGACAGAAGTCTACGAGTTTCGCCTATATATATGCACGTACGTGATTCCAGGAAATATTGAAATATAATTACGTGTGGGAAAATGTCTTAAAAAAGTCTCGTGACGCACTATACTTTCGTCGGACGAGGGCATCCCAGAAGTAAATGTCGGAGCCGTTTACAAGTTAGCCAACTGCAAACGAACGGAGGAAGGAGAGTCTAATAGGCTCAAGAAAAGAACGATCACAGAACCTTCAGTTGTATTGCCAACACTGTCAAAACGGACCAGTCTTATAAAAATCGCTCTATAGCTGAGCGGGGAGCCAGCCAGTGGATTAGACACTGGCTGGCGCGCATGCGCACAGGAAGGTGCGCGCTACCTCCTCTCTCGCAGTCACTGAGCAGGGTGCCTAGGCTCCCAGGATGCAGACTTATACCGCGATACACGTCCAGGTCCCGAAAAGACAAATTCCCCTATTTATCTGACGTTGTGGGAAAATAGCGAGTTGTTTATGTGATTTTTGTTCGGGTTTTCTTTATGAAACAATTAATGAAGCTAAATATTTAGTTATAGAAAATGTCCCACTCACTATGGGCCACTTCTATAACTTCTAAAGGGTTCACGATATCGAAATGCAGTTTTCGCTCAAAAATGTGGAATCATGAAGCAAGTAATGTATGCCTGGTTAGATAAGAAGAGACCAATGAACTCTGCAACAAAGCAGTTATGATCATGAATGAACATTCAGGGTCAGAATTATTTGAAAAACTCAAGATAGTTTCTTTTTAAATTATTGATACAGTGGTGACTCAATGGATTATAGCTTTCTAGGTTTTGAAAACTCCAATTTTATTAAATTTCTTGGCAAAAAGCGGTTTTTAACTGCAAAGCGTCCTTTCATTAAAAAAAAAGTGTTATTTTCTAATAAAACAATATCTGTTCTTTGACAGTAAGCGGCTTCAAAATGAACTGACAAATGTATACATTGATAATGCAATGTATTCATGCTTGCAGATTTGTTGCTTAAGTATTTGTTGGACAAATTGATATAAAAAAATTACCTTGAGACGGTTTGGTTGATACAACTTAGTCTAACTTTTCTAATTTACTATGGTGCAAGCCCCATTTTCAGGAAGTGTTCTTCATACCCAATTTCAGATGTACTTCTTTTTGAAAATTTTAGTAGTCTTTGAGCAATTTTAAATGAAATATGGGTAATATTAAAAACAAGATTTTTTAAAAATGGGTTCAATTTTTTTCTTTATAATTTCTGTACAGATAGTACTAAATGCACTGTATAAAATGAAATAAATATCAATTTGTGAGTACAAGTTCTTGAAATGCTTTGGATGAAAATGAGGTTGAAAATGCACATTTTCAGAAACACTTAAACGATATTTTCTTAAAAACTACTCTAGATTTTTCAATGGAATTTTGCATGTAGGATCAGATTACACTCTTCATTAATATTCTAGGTTATATTTCCATTCTACTATTAGGTACCTGAAACTTGATGAAACAAAAAAGAAAAAGAAGAAAACGTTTTAGGTGGCTAATAGATGGTAGCTGCGAAGAGAGTGGAGCAAAACCAAATAGATAGCCCAGGCTAAACAGAAAAGAAGACTATCTAGTACAAGAAAGTCAATACTGTATTAGCACCAAAATTTCAATTTCACATTATATATCACACATCTATTTCCTTATAGTGAGGATAAATTGAATGGCATTATGAAATTCATCAACAAATTCTCATATGATATTAAGGAATTCTTCTAAATTTTAACATCTCTTAGATACAGTTGAAACAAAAAAAAAATAAATACTTTCTTATTTCTTACATATATTTTCTATTATCTACTTTGAAAACTTTACATATTTTTAATTTTTTGCATATTTCCATCACTTTACCTAAAAAAATGTTGGGTTTTTTTTGGATAAAAAATGTATTATTCAATTATTTAGCACAAACAATTAATTTATAACTAATTGCACGTAAACATTCTGTAAAATTGTTCATATACAAATATATTCTTTAAATATATTTCTAAATATACAAATTAATCATTTAGATTTGCACACAAAGAATTCAAAATTGTAGATGTCCGTGGAGTGTCAAAGCCATGTCCTTTCTTGGATCTTAACAAATTAATTTGATCTTTCATGCCAGCAGCTTCATCCCAACTTTTTTTTTTTAGTTCTTGCCATTCAGCAACTTTAGTGTCAATGCCTTTAAACTCTTCCAGGATATCACGTTCAGCTTCAAGGACACTGATGAGTTGTTCATTCTGAAATACACATAAATGTTAAAATAAATCTGTCTGCAATACGAAGGATTTTTGGGGGGTATGGAAAACAAGGAATCACAATTCTCAGGTGTCATTTTCAAAAGTTAAATTTAATTTCTATCTTTAACATTGTGACCTTATCCTACATTGAAGTTAAAGACATTACATTAATCTAAGATGTTGGCACATATGCAGCCAAATAAATTCAAATTTGACGTAATTCGAATACAACCATTTATACCCAGTCTTTGGGGCAAATTAATAGCAAAAAGCACACATTTCAAATGTCGCACGCTCTAATCTTGACCCCCCACCCCCCAAAAAAACGCGAATTCCCTCACAAAGAGGAAGAATTCATTTCATGTACAATACTCTTTAAAACGGTATTTGAACTGCTTTCAAAGATACCCAGGAGGTTGCGCCACATCTCGGCCGCTGAGCACATTGTCGAATTTCTCAAAATCCTCCACATAAGACGCGACGAGATCACATTGTTTGAAAATTGGTATTTGTTGAGAATGTTAATTTTATTATCTTAATTTAATTGTATTAACTCACAGACATGTCTGTTCATTACACGAGTTTTTACATAAATTAACACGTTTTGTTAAATGTTAATTTACGTATTTTGGAAAAGTTGTGACCTTTTCACAGACCAAAACAGACATATGGGACGCATAAGAAATCTGTAGATTTTTCCGTTCTTGTAAGAACTACAATTTAAAATCATTCAATTAAATAAAAGTAATGAATTTTACATTTTTAAATTCATGAACCAGTTTTGAGAAATAGAATCCTATTTATTGGTCAGATTTTTATGTGTTTTTTAAAAGAACGCAAAAAAAAACCCAAATTTCGTAGCTTATCTTATTATATTCTTTTTACCGTGAGAAGTTAATTCAGTCGCCTGTAGGCACTGTAATGACACTAGAGATGCGCAATAACCTCACTTGTGAGGGCTGCCTCCGCAAGTGAACATGGCCGGCAGAACAAACGTGAGGAGTGCGGGCTCGCGCGGCGTAAACAGGTAGTGACTTCCCCACGATCATCCGCCGAACAAACGAGTCTTCGTTCAGAATCACTTGCTCGCGCAGTGAAAACGTTTTCCTTTCGCCCACACAAAGGTAACACTGACAAATTCTTCAATACTTAATTATCCTTACGCCGAGGTGTGCTAACATATTGATACTAGTCGTTTCAGAATTTTTCCTTGTGTCAAAGGGTCAGGAGGCCGTATTATTGCAGTTCCTTTGTTCTTTGCTTTGATGTTAGACTTATTCTCCCCACTCGACAAGAAAAACCGTTTCGTTTCCGCGTCGGACACTTTCCGTTTTATGCTGCGTAAAATACCATATAATTTCACGACCGAGAAAAATTTTCCGGTTTTTACAGGTTTTGGTTTCGACAGATTTTACTGTATCACCATTTCCCATGTCTCTTCAAAATTCCAATCAATTTACAATATTTGAAACTATCAGTATCAATAAAATAGTTAAACACGTTATCATCAACAATTTTTTCTAGAAAAACATGTACATTCTTAGGGATATCAACATTTTTGACACATAACATTGCCCTCGCATTGAAAAATAATAAGATTTGTATTTTTCGAAGTTATTATTATTATTAAAATATGTTAGTACAATTTCTTCTGATATTTGTCTTACTTTTCTGTCATTTCTCCATTTGCAGAAGCATTCGTACTCTTCCATAGATATGCCTCGATTTTTTTAGGGAATACTTTTGAATCAATACATTCTGTTTCTTTCGTGATATTTATTTATTTCACAGTTTTATTGTTAAAAATACTTCTTACCCAAAAATCCTAATACTTTTTATAATTTTAATTTTATTTTCCCCCTTGCCCAATCTTTATAATCCTTGTCTGTTCTTCATAATTCTTGTCTTTCAAAAGTCCCTTAATTTATCTCAACCATGTTTAGGTCTTCCTCTTTTCTTCCTACCCACAGGATACCATTGTAAAATTACTTTAAGATTTCTATTTTTTTCTTTTTTTTCCCATTCTCTCCCTTTTTATTTTTTTCTTCTTTTTTTAAATTCTGTTAACATGGCCAAACCATTGTAATTGTTTATATTGTATAGTTTCTAAAACTGTGAACTTCATTCATTTTTTCTCTTATTTTATGTAATTTTAATATCCTAGATGACCTCTTAAAAAAATCCATTTCTGTTGCCAGTAATTTTAAGTTTTAAATTTTTCTTTAATTTCCAAATTTTTGATCCACATAAAATTACTTTCTACAATACATCTATATATCCTTAATTTATTTTCTTTTGTTATCTGCTTATCCCATAACAATTTATTTAGCTTTGATGTTGCTAGTCTTCATTTGTTTTTCCTGATTCCCATTTCTTGTATTCTTCTAATAATTTCCTAAACATGTATTCCACATCTTCAACATTGTGTGCTATTATTACCTAGTCATCTGTAAATAATAATGTATATATACTTTTATTACCTATTGGATCACCCATTCCTCCAACTTTCTTTTAACATATTTCTAGCGATTTTTGCAAGTCTATTTTTAATAAAGTTGGAGATAAGCTGCATCCTTAAAGCACACCTTCGGTAATGAAAACTGATTCCGAGAGATTTCTGTATATTTGGACTCAGGAAATAGCACCATCATATTTTTTCTTTATTACCATAAAACTGATTTCATTGATGTTCATTTCTCTCAATATTTCCCATAATTGGGTTACTAGAACACTATCATATGCCCTTTGTAAATCTACAAATATAAAATGAATTTGTTGCCCCACTTGTTTTTGTTTTTTTTCTTCTATTAGCTGTTTTATTACAAATATATGTTGCTGTCTTCCTTTCTTTCCGTCTGTATGTCTTTCCTTCTGTCTTTATTCGCGTCGGACTTTCCTTCGATCTGTCTCCAGTTATAGACTTCGATCTTCTGTCAGTCTACCCTTCCATCAGTCTGTCCTACCATCTGTGCGTTCGCCCGTCTCTGCCCGTTCGTCCGACAGTGTCTACGTGCTGCCTGTCCATCTATTTGTCCGTGCGTTTGCATGATGTCCGTCTTGTCTGTCTGTCTACCCGCCCTACTGTCTTCTCCAGGCTTGTCTGTCTGTCCGTCTGCCCATCTTTCTGTCTATCTCACTAATGAGACTACGTTTAGCGGCTAAATAGTTATGCATCAAATGGGTTTTAGTTTTTCTAATGATCATGCAGCGACAAAATTCCCGAAGGCCTTTGGCCCGAGGGATTTTTGTCGCCCGATAACATTGGAAACAGTTAATGACCGTGGTACATATATAATTTTATTCTTCCGCAATTTTATTGCTTCGTCCAACTGTCCGTCTTTCTGCCCGCCCGACTGTCTGTCTATCGGTCGGTCGGACTGTCCGCCCGTCTATAGTTCAGTCCGTCTGCCTGTGCGTCTGACTGTTCACCGTCCGACTGCCCTCTGCCAGTCTCAGCCCGTCTGTCTGTCTCACCGCCTGTTTCCCTCATCCGTCTGTCTGTCTGTTGCCCGTCCGTCTTTTCTTTAGGCTATCCTTATCGGTCAGTCAATCTGTCTCAGTCTGTCTGCCCGCCTTTCTCTCCGTCTCAATATGATTTCTGAGACCTGATTTTGCCGCCAAATAGTCAGAAGGAAGTCATGAATGACGGACGGATGTCATGCAGACGCATATACACGCAGGCACACACAAACAAAAGGACACACAGCCTGCCATACAGAATGTCTGACGGACATATTGGTGGACAGATGGATGGACGGACAATCAGACCGATGGACGGATAGTTAGACGAGTGGTCGGATAGACAGATGCGTGGACAGACAGTCAGGCGGATGGACGTACAGACAGATGAGCGGATATACAGACGGATGGACGAAACGATAGAACGAGGTATAGGCGAATGTACGGACAGACACAAATTACTTGACGGTCGCATTATTTCCTCCCACATTATTTCTAATAACGAAAAATGGTATCATTAATATAATTTTACTACAAGAGCACAAAGCTGGAACTTACATATTGGTATCTCCTTATTAGTTCTGCTGTAATCTTGTGCATGTCTTCAAGATCCTGATCAGTGTACTGCTGTCTCTGAACTTCATCTTCTGGCAGCAAAAAATCCCGAGGAATACTCAGAGACTGCTTTATTGCATTCTAACAAATCAAGAATATAATACATTTTGTAGACACTAATCTCATATTTATACTTTCACAATTTATAACAGAATGAACAATCAGAATGAGATTTTTTCCAACGATTCATTACAATTAAACTTTTGTTCTACAGATTGAAATTCCAAAGCAGGAGCAACAGTTACAAGGGCTATTAAAAGAATTCAACCAAAAAATGCAAAATTTATTTAAACCTATTTTCAAGATTCAAAATCGTTTATATTTAATTTTCCCAAAAGAATGTCTGAATATTTGTTTTCAGCTACTCTTGAACCTACAGCCACACTGAGTTCTAAATTAAAGCTATATAAGTCAATAACTGTACCATGAAACGGGGTGAATAGGGACAGCAGTGTAGAAAAAACAATTGTATCTCTCACTAACATGACATTAAATAATGTGTTTTTGATGCCATCTGGTGAATAAAATTAGTATGAGATGTAGTTCTCAAGAATTGTGTGTATTATTTTTGAACCAATGTTATTGTTACTATTGTAGTATTCACGGCAAAATTTACTCTGTACAAGCAAGACACAGAGAAATAATTTCAAAATATTTTGGGTAAATAGTGATTCTATTTTTAAGTTATATGCATGCATTTTTATGTTGTACTATTCATTTTGAAATAAACAGTTGAATATTTTTTCTCAAGCTGTCATTTACTTTTTTTTATTTTAGGGGTGAATAGGAACAACATGGTTAGACAGTATGAGAGTAATTTCAGAGGTTGTCTTTAGAAATATAAGTATACATTGCCCAAGAAGACCTGGAAAATGCACTGCAAGCTACTAGGAGGGGGATGTCACTTCGAGCTGCTGCAGAGAAGTTGCAAACACCTAAATCTGCATAGCAGCGATACTGTAAAATGATTCCTACTCAAATTGTAAACAGAAAAATGAAAGGAGGCCAAACAGACCTTGGTGAATCTTGTAAGAAGATAGTGAGTAGTGTTGTAAGTTATGGAAGATGGAGGTATCCAAAGAGTACCTTTGATTTGCGGAATGTTGTTAAATATCATTTGGACAGGGAGGGGAAAGTAATGAAGCAGTTCAAGATCCTTTCACAGTCATATTGGGTTCACTTTCATAAACAGGCATAAGGATAAAATTACTCTTGCATTTGTCAATATCTGACATTGGGAAAAGCTAGTCACTCCACAGACTATTGAACATTATTTTGAAGAATTGAAAAAGATTGTTGATGGTGGTTAAGTGATGGTAATGCATTGGATGTTTTTGTTTTTATGTATTTTATGTTTCTTTAAAGTAATATTGTATTCTTGTTGAACCCAATGTCTGGTAGAGTAGAGTTTTGAACTTTCATTTATAACTGTCCCTATCCTTGGGGTGAATAGGGACACTTCTTAATCAACAATTACAGGTCATTATGTAATGCTATCTTGGGTTGCTATTGATTTCTAAAGATGGGTGATTAAACCTTTCACTTTCATGAAAAAAATATTTATGATAGTTTGTTTTACTAGTTTTATTATTAAGAAAACTTGAAATTGGTCCCTATTCACTTCGGTTTACAGAACGACCATCAATTTATTATTGATAAATTTCCTCCTCCGATAAATACTTTTCCCAGATACATAACCAAAACCAAACTATTTTCATTTTTTTAAACTGGTGTTGCTCCTACAGCACATACTTTCTCGCACTAATTCAAAATTTGGAATTTTTGGAAATTGAGAGTTCAACAAAAATTAGACCTCTGCTATTCTTGTATGTGTTTCTTGTTCTAACCATGAAAAAAGTTTGGAGTGGTTTCTGCAATTTTTTTTTATGTCATCAATTTCAAGCACAAATTTACAATTTCAAAATGCGATAATTACTCATAATTTCGAAACATTTTACACAATCTTATTTCAAGATATACCTTCAAAGAACAGATTTCATAAAGGAAAAAATATCTATCTTCAATATTCTAATTGTGCAAGTTTTTGGGAGTGTTTTGCTACTTCAGCAATTTTGAAAAAATCAGGGATTTCCATGAAAACGAGACCTACACCGTTCTTTTAAACATCCTTTATGCTATCCAAGGACAAAATTTAATCAAAATGTTTGGAATCATTTTTTACAAAATTTTCAAAATGTTGAGGTTTTGTATATAATACCTACAAAACACCCACTTTGAGAATCAATTATTTTCTTCTCAAAATGTTTAACTTTATATCTTTAAAATCACAATCGCTGTCATTACTTCAATTTATTATAGTTTGTTGTATGAGTTTTTTCCGGTTTCTAGGTTCAAACATACATTTTAAATGAGACTTTCTAACTAATGGGAGCAATTATAACATAGCTTTACTATATTTGGAAAAACTTTTATTCACATTAAAACCAATATTTAAATTTTAAAACTTATGTAATGATTGGGAAGCTCAAAGAAGCTCTTCACAGAGGATTGCCCCCAAAAAGACAGGCACTTCTGGCGGCCCTGGTAGGACACTTAGGCATCAATAGATATCAGCTGAGAAGGGAAAAAGTTGAAACATTTGTAGCTGAGCCTCAAAAGAACTGCGAACTAAATAGTATAAAATCATAAATAGTTGAAAAACCTAATCTCTTAAAACCAAGATTGAAAGAAACCCAAGGCTTTTTTTAAAATACTCAACCCAGTGGGTATTGAGTTTTATTGATAAATAATACTTTTTAAATTTAGTTCATAAAAAACACTGACTTTTATCATTTGAAATCCCAAATTATGAAGTAAATTCAGGAAGTATGGGGCATCCAAGCATTAACCCCCATCTTGAAGACTGCACGCTCACAATTGTTAACAGTAACATACATGTTTGTTAATGTTATTGTTTTTGGAAAATGCAGTAACAAATGTGTTAAATATAGAAAAGTTGCAAAAGAACTTTGCACCTTACTGTAAGTTAATTTTGTGTTTCCATTGTCTTTGAATTTGTTTGTGTGATTAGGGTAGCCACTCATTTCTACAAACAAATTTCCCTGACTTTTCTGAGCTTTCTAATGAATTTTTCTATTTTTTCCCCCTCATAAGATTTGTAATTTCATGCCATGAAAAGAAAATATTAATATTAACCTGGTACTAATCGGTCAGTTCTCTCACTGTAACAAAGTATAAATTAACAATATTTCCCCATTGAACAAAAAATAATGCTGTACTAATGTTTATAAGGAATAATATTGTGTACTATAACCCACTCAAAATTATCCCTGATTACAATTCTTCTACAAATTCTCTGCTTTTCCCACACTTTTCCAGAGAAATGAAATTTCCCTTTTTCCCCTGGTTTTCCAGAAAGTGGTCACCCAAATGATCAATTGTTTCTGGGCACGACAACTCCTTAGTTTCTGCAGTTGTTTTTGTTCCTTCTACATGTTTGTAGGCACCCGTTGCAATTCAATTTGAATTTCTAATGAATATTTCTATTCAAAAATTATAAATTTTGTTATTTCATTTGAAATAATTACAAAAATCAATACATTTCAAGTGCTTTAAGTGGATATTTAGAGAAAATGAAAGGGGTGGGGGGTTAGGGCTGGATAAAATGTAGACACCCTGCTACAGTTTTGTTTGAGAATATCCTGTATTCTTGCAATTTTTAGTAAAAGAGTGTACCAATTTTTTTCACAATATTCATGTTTTTTTTAATATACTTTAGTATTGACAGTGGTTATGCTGAAACTATCTTGTGTTTAATTCCTTGTATTAAGATACCTTCATATAAGTTGCTGTTGTTTTCACATCTGTTATCAAGTTATTGATTCACTATAAACAAATTATGTCCTAATGGTAAAAACAGTATATGTAGTGGTCATAGAGTCCATAGCACCAAAACTAGACTTGACTAGGAAAACAAATATATAATTTTTGAGTTCAGCATTTAACCCGTTTAAACCCATTTAAGATGCTAAAAATGGGTTTCCCGATATACTTAACAAATTATTTTGTACGTCTTAAATCATCTAGATTTCAGAATGCCCAGTTACTCTGCATTCCAAAAAGCAAAACCAGCTACTACAATAAATTGTTTGCAATTACTGTAGCCCCGTGAATGGAATAAATGCCCTCCAATATTAAAAACTCCTCTTCATTAACATCTTTTTAAGAAGCACCTGCATGGTTTTTTTACAAAGTAAAATAACCATTTTGCTATTAAAATCACTGTAGATTACGGGTCAAATAAAAACTATTCCTTAGGAGTGTTAGATTAATATGTTTTGAAATAACATTAATGTTTCTTTGAAAAAAAATGTTACTTTCTTGTGACCTGTTTGATACTGCCGGAACTGTACTTATCCGTAGGAGCAGAGGCGGTTTAAACAAGAAACCATCCTTTGCAGCATGGACCGCAGCTGAGGATACCATCCCAAAGACCCATTACTTTCATGTTAGCTTAGTTTCCATTGTATTGGACACAGGGGTTTTTTCTTTGCCCTGCGTTGGGGTTTTTTTGACTAGGTTCCCAGGATCGACGACGTGTGATGGGTGTCTTTATTATTAATAGATCACAGTCGCTCGGGTGAATACCAGCGCTGCCGCGTAGCGCGCAGATATTTAAAGCACATAATCTTATTTAATTCAAATTGTTTTTCATTCTCAGACCTGATTTTAAAAATTAATTTCGAAATTATTATTGTAACATTTTATCGCATTAACCTCTATGTTCTCTATTTATAAGGCTTTAAATAACATTTGCTTTCCACTAACTACTTACAACTTGTGGATTACATTAATTTTAATAACATTATTTTTGTAAATTTATACATTACTCTGTATATTTATGACATGTGGTCAGGCAGAAGAGGTGCAGCCTGTATAGCCCGAGCCTCGCCATATTAATAAAGCATATATTATTATTATTATTATTATTATTATTATTATTATTATTACAGCATGGTCAATTCCCATAAAACCCATCAACAATATTTAAACACCATAAACTCTGTATGTAAACATCAGCAACTTAAAAACATCATGAATATATGTGAAGGACATAAATCTCACTTAAAAAACAAATATTATTACTTTATAGTGCTAGAAGTGTATGCATAAGCATAAGCATACACTTCTAGCACTATAAAGTAGTGATAATAATACTAGAATATAATATAAGCATGCAACTGGGGTAAGTATGCTCCCAGGCAAGCTGTAATGTTGTCGGCAAGATATGACCTCTCCCGAGTTAAAATAACACCTACCATTAATTCTGGTCCACTTCTGTCAACAGACGCATACAGTTCAGATTTTAAAATGGAACATACATTTACATTATTACATTCTGGAACAAACTTCTTGAGACTATGTTCCCAACCTTCCATTCCTTCCTCTACCACAGTTTTCATGATTTCCACAACTGCAAAATTTAAATGAATTACTTCAGAAACCACAATCAAGATTAAAAACTGTGAAGCACATACATTATTTGCCTTTGACCTACCATTGTTGTACAGCTTGTAAGGGCTCCATTTATGTAACTGTGCTCCATATTCTTCCTGTGCGTGCTGTCTCTCTGCAGCATTAACTGATGACATACTTCAGTAATTCTTTAAATAATAAAATGAAATACTCATATTCATAGCTACCTTAGAAGATAGATACTTCTACATTTAGGTGAACTTTCTTCAAAGTAAAGAATTCCCTTTAAGAAATTGGAGCAACTGAAGGATTCCATCCAAGAAATTGGAACAACTAGAGAATGTTACATGAATGATACAAACAAAACTTAACACGATACAATACCTGTTATCACAACGGTTCTTAAATAGAGCCTTGTGTTTCTGCAGTATCAACTGAATATAATTACGTTAGTGAATGAAGATTGCCTACTTTAATTCATAGAAAACGTTTATGTTACACAATACAACTTTCCCGCTTCCTCCAGACAGCATGAGTTCAAAACAAAACATAATACGTCATGGAATAACTTACGCCAAATGAAACCGTTGAAACCAGTGATTTCAACTATATATAAATTGGATCGACGACTGCACTGCTGGAAACTCTTCGGGAGCGTGACGCCTGATCTTCGTGAGTTGGCAAACCTGGAGCGTATTCCAATCATTGGAATCCAATGTGCTAATCAGTCGGTACAATAGTACCGAGTAGTACGCGCCTGCCTGCGGTGCACTGCAGTGTGCCTGGTACGTGCTTAGGGTTCGGCGTGGAAAGGTGGCTATATTTCGGTTAATTTTGCTTCTTTTGTGTCGCGTGCGGTGAAGAAAGTTCACCTAGATGTAGAAGTATCGTTGAGATCACTGTACTTAACGCATAAAGGCTCGCACAATTCACATATACTGATTGGTTCGAGGAAACGTTTCGTTTTACAAACTTCATGGTGAAATCCATGCATAGTAAACCTCGCCACCGAATGTTCTAGGTCAGATCCTCTTCCCATTAATTCGCTTGTGAGTCATTGCATCCGTTATATAAAACTTTTCCCGTATTTTTCCTTTTATCTCTAAGTTCATTAATTTTTTGAGGCGTGGTGTGTTTGGTAGTATCATTTGGCATCGCAGTTCTTCCAGGTAAATGGGGTCCTTTGTTACCTCTGAAGCAGTAAACTTGGACACCTCTATCACATCAACTTTCTTCAGATAGATTTCACTTTCTCTATATCATTCAAATCTCTTTTGTTCAGGTGTTCCCAAACGACCTTTAGTCCGTATTTAATCACCGGAGTTATTTTCAATCTGAATAATTTTATTGCTGTTTTGAGTGAAATTTGTCGTCGGTATGAAATTTTATTCATCGAAATAATTGCTGCTGAGGTTCTCTCGTTGATATATTCCCTTAAATTGGTTGCGCGAGTTTGTAGAGTTACATGTAAATACTTTAATTTGTTTATAATTTCTAAGTTTTCCCGTTGAAGTTCATGCCACTCTGGGTGCTGAGTCTCCCTCCTTTTCTGAACACCATAGAGTAATGACCAGTGTATGAATATACTACATTCTATTCCAGAGAGTATCTCTAAATAAATCTAGTATTTTTAATGTATCTTTAAGAAACAAAATAAACATTTTTGTAGAAATATTACATGTGTGTTTTAATGCACTAAAAAACTATATATAATTAGAATAAAGAAGATATATATATATATATATATATATATATATATATATATATATATATATATATATATATATATATATTATAGGGAATATGTGTTACAAATAACCACAAAAACGACTTGACCGATTTTGCTGAAATTTTCATACTTTGATCTTATTAGTAATTAGTTTAAAGAGAGGTTGGAATTAAAGTGGACATGTGATGACGTTGTTGATGACGATTTGTTCGTTTACGACAACTCGAGCGTCTCTGAAGTCCACGCAACTCATCGTACTGTCAAGGATTAAGGGCGTCTTCACAGCATACACATATTGTGAAATATCGGCCAGAATTATTACTTGAATCTCGGGCAAGTATTTCAAATGTCCAAAAGATGGGGTCATAGCGAACGCATGTTCAAATTAAGGGAGATCGTTTTAACAATAGGATACTTGACTACCATGTCCAAACTATGACATGCAACAAGCCCATACTCGTGAGAGTCTTAAATCTATTAGAATGTTTGCACAGCTTAGTGTAATGGGCGTGGAACCGTGATTAACAATCTAATGACCAATTTGTGTAATGTGTAATAATAATTCAATAGCATGCCCAATGCGGAGCAGTAAAGCAACATAAATATTTTTTTAATTATTATAATAGAACGTAAGGATTCCCTTCAATACTATAGAACGTCAAAAAGCATTACGATTTCTTGCGAGCCATATAACACTTTCTCTATCAGCTAATTTCCTCACAGGATTCACTAGATTTCGTTTTGCTTTTTGATTTGTGCTTCGTGAAGTCTCGTGGTTCCCTCTCTTCACGAATAAATCAATGAGTTTTGAAGACAAAATCAGGTATATATGAACGTAGTTGAGGTGATTCAACCTCTTCTTGAGCTCCCTTCACGTAAGCAGAAATCAATTTTTCGTCTCCGTGTTGACTCCTACACTTATCATGGGCTTCAGTTATTGTTGAGTTGCATTTGAAGGGAAAAATTGCCATCCTGACAATGAGACATTACACTCGACCTCCCATATCATGCGATGCCTTAGCGTGTCCCATCTCGGGCAATGGAACAGCGTATGTTCGGCGTCGTCCACTTCATGGCTGCAGTAGAAGCATACCGCGTCTTCTGTCTTGCTGAATCTTTTAAGGTATGCCTTAAAACATCCATGCCCTGTGAATGCCTGAGTTAAGTGATATGTCACGGACCCGTGTTTGCGGCTTATCCGTTTGGATGTATTCGGGATGAGCCTATGTGTTCATCTGCCGGTCTCCTCTCTGTCCCAACGTTTCTGCCAGCGGTGCATCACGTTTTCTTTCGCTTTTTTAATTGCGCTATCCTTATCTTGTTGCGTTCGCCTTCCGTGGCCTTCTTGCTCATGGGAGTAGTCGTAAACTTCTTTCCTTTCTAGAGCAAGCAGATCAATAGGAGGGACGTTCGCCAGCAGAAGAAGAGCACTTCCGGATACAGTTTTATACGCCGATGTTATGCGTAGAGCTCCTTTCCTCTGGACAGACTACATTTTCCTTCTCAAATTATTGTTTTGAAGAGCTTCTGCCCAGATCGGGATGGCATAGAGCATTTTCGAGTGCATCATACTCATAAGAAGTCGTCTCGTCTTGTCTCTGGGGCCCCTGGTGTCAACCTTGAAAGCGATGCTGCTATTCTTAGGGCTTTTTCTGTCGTCTCGGCAACGTGTGGTCCAAAGCTTAGATTCCTGTCAATTTCCATTCCTAGATAGCGAAGGCTCTTGCTACATTGTATTTTTCCGTGATAAGTTAATTTTAAGGACTGCCACTTGAAGCCCTTTGAACGTAAGCCATCTCATCACTTTTCTCAGGGTGTCGTTCATGATGACCGCTAGTAGGGCCGATGTTTCCGCCGTTGCCACTAATATTGCATCGTCTGCGAAGCCCACTACTGAGAGAGACCAAGTTTCGAACCTTGTGGGATACCACAGGTCATCTCGATTTCAATAGGTTCTCCTTCGCCTTCGTAAATTGTCTTTCGGTCGCTGAGGTAGCGACCATGTCATCCAGTTACATTTAAAATTCCCGCTAATATTGTGTATTCAGTACTGCATAATACTCTTTGCTTGCTCCCAAAAGGCGATGGTGCTGCCCCCATTAACCCTTGACGTCACATGTTCTATACCTAAGAGTATTCTTTGGGACATGCTTTAAATGTATAATCTCATTGCTGGACGGTATTTTCTCCTTGACTTCCTGTGCGTGTAGCTCCTTTTCCGCTTAGAGAGTGAACTGGTGAACATACTTATTGTCACGTGTGTTCGTGAACTCAAATTTATTTTCAAAATGGATAAACCTGTGGTTTTAGCGAGAGTTATTAAGGTATTAGGCCGTACTGGCTCTCAAGGACAGTGTACACAAGTGAAGGTGGAATTTATTGGAGAGCAGAACCGACAGATCATTCGTAACGTGAAAGGACCCGTGCGAGAAGGAGACATCCTAACCTTGTTGGAGTCTGAACGTGAGGCCAGGAGGTTAAGGTACGTATACGGTCTTTTATCTTTTAATATGTTGTATCTTTTAGCTCATTACTTCACTCTTGTTTGTATCTTTTAGCTCATTACTTCACTTTCTTTTTGTTTTCAGATGAAAGTGGCAAGCAGTTTGTGATTCTGGTGTTTCGCTTACATCCGGCAAGCCTGAAATCGAAATTCTGTAATCTGAAAACTCTTTAAATGTAATGAAATAAAAATTGTAATACATATGTTTCTTTTTTTTTTTTTTTTTTTTAACGCCTTATTCTTGTCAGGAATTACATTAATGTTAGGAAGCTAGAGAAAAGATCTTTGACTTCTTAAATGTGATCGGGGTTTTTCTGGTAGCAGGATAATAAATATTTCTTTTTAACTTGATTGTTGTGAAGGAAGTGTTCCTCTTTAAAATTGGCAGTGTTCTGTGATTAATTAGTAGTCCTTGGTAGCTTTGATTTGATTAATTGTATTCTAAGTTTACAAGGTCATGAAATTTTATTGTATGAACTGTTCTGCTTGCTGGCAATTATCAAATGTTGCATGACTAAATTAAGTACGGGAGTATTAGAAATACTGTATTGTGCCAAATATACTATATAATACTGTATTATGCCAAGGCTGATATGATAAAAGTTCATATGAAGGTGTATGACCAAAATTATTTAATTTTTAGGGGTGCTTAAAGGGCAGTTTGCCCCCCCTATTAGATATACAAGATTTTAAGATAATTTAATTTCATAGCATAAAATGCAGAATGCAATTAAAAAAAAAAATAGAAAATATATTCTGTAGTTTGCAAATTGTGTCAAGTCTCTTGATCGCCAGGTAGCGTCTCTGCATACACACCTATCTTACATGCTCCTGCGTCAATACCCAGCGGCCGGAGTTAGGGTAGGGGTAGGGTTTAGGACACATCATAGGGGTTAAAGTAGCCAAACTTGTTTTGTTAGAATGAATTTCACTTGGGATTGTATGGAAAATGAACTTTGACCTCTTTGGTGAAATGTGAGCGACTTCGCTCTGAGCCAGCCATTCTTCAAATATAAAATTGAGGCTGTATCATTTAATTTCAGGAGAATTTAGAGGCCTGAATAAAAATCGCACAGTATTGCCAGCCCTTGATTCTACAAAGAAAAGTTAAAGCATTGAGGAATATTATCCAATTCCAAGATATGTGTTCCTTCTGTGTGATTGAGAGTTTTCTAAAGTGAAAATTACAGCATTGTGATCACATTTACACTTTGAGTACATGGAAGCGATTGTAACTTCAAGCCAAAAGAACAAATTCCAAGTTGTCAACCCTAACTGTTCTGACATAACTAATTTTTAAAAAGATGGAGACCATAATATACTAAAGATCGTGGCATCTATTAAAATTTCAGGAAAGGACATCCCTAGATTACACACGAAAACATTTACAGATAAGCAAATTTACATACTTCAGCCATTCTATAAAAAATGCTGTACGTAATTGCATGAGATGTGTGTCTTTTGTCTTGCATGAAAAGTGCTAATGAAGTAATTTTGACAAGGAACTCGGCAAGCCTTGAGGGGCATCTTCTTATAAAGGAAGAAAATAACAATTGATAACTTCAAATCAATCAAGTATCCTTCAAGAGGAAAAAGTTTTTGCATTCCACTACACTACAGAACTGGCCAGTGTGTGCCTAATTAAACATGAAATGAAATAACACACAATTTGTTTCGTCGTGTAACATTCTAGTTATTGACTTGAAGATTGAGTTTTCTTTTAGTATGTCAAGATCATTCTTCATTGGAGGTTTTCGTCAGGCTATGATGGATTAGAAACATTTTTATTATGTGTCAGTACTCTTTCTTAAAGTTGTGTTAAAGTAAAGAATTAAATGAATGGCAATACGTTTCGCCATGATAGATTTTATTTCAGAAACAACTTAATGGTGTTCGCTATTACAGAAATTGCATTTAGCTTTCTGCAAAATGAGACGACTTTACTTATCAGAACTTAAAAAAAAAAATCTATGTGATATATCCGTGTCCCTTTCATTTCACTTATTACTAAATGAATATGGGTAATTTGTTGATACAAAACAATTAAAGGTCTCTTGACTTATGTTGTTTCTGAAATAAACCTTTCATACAGACAATTACTGGTTGCCATGAAAATGATATTCCAACTTTGCAGCAAATGTTTGTGCACACAGCCTGCTAGCAAATGCAGAGGACTATTTTCTGTACTTTGATATAGTTTTTTGTGACTAGTATTTTCATTTTAACCCTTTCCATCATAGCTCCAAAACTCTCATATCTACTTCATTTAGTAGATTTTCATCTTTCATTAGTTTGGTAGATGATGTAGTGAGGACCTACTTCAGATTCAACAAGCTATCTTCAAGGAAATTAATTTGTGGTGTGAGCTCATGACAGTACAGAAGGCATTTGTGTAAAGAGTTTATTTTCTGTAACTTAATTAGTAGTAATTGTTCCTATACAGCAATCCCACAACTTTCAAAATGTTTCTTTATAAGTTTTACAGCTTCATTCCGTTTGGCTAGATTTGACACTTTTGCTTGGAATTTTTGTCCTTTTCCAGCTCCTTTGCCATCTAGTATTTCACAGATTCTGGAAACAAAAATAAAAAAAAAAAGTTTCAAGGTGAGTATGTGATGCATGTTATTAAGCTCTCTATTTAATAATAATAATAATAATAATAATAATAATAATAATAATAATAATGCCTTTATTAATGGCGAGGCTCAAGGCATAGGAACTGCTCTTCTGCTTATATACTTATAGAGTAGTAACATTTTAAGAGGAGAGGACAAGTTGTACATTTACGTCTGGGAGAACAAATTTAGGGACCCTCCCGGCAAATTCCTTAAGAGATTGAGTAAACCCAGAAAACCTCAATCAGGATGGCGGCTTAGGGCTGAACATCATCAATTTACGGAGAAAAGTGGAAGAGAAGGAAACATAAATAAAAACAGGAGGAGAAAGAAGAGAGACCAAGAGGGGGGACAACTTGTACATTTATGTCTGGGAGTGCAAGACAAGGAACCATCCTGGCGAATGCCTTAAGCGATTGAGTAAACCCAGAAAAACTTCAATCAGGATGGCAGCTTAGGGGCGAACATTAATTGTACTGAATAAGTTGTACATAGTATTGAAAGGGAACTTTCGTGAAAGAGAAAAGGAAAGACATACAGGGGAAGGGGTCAAAAAGTAAAAATGATAAAATTTATGAGGGAAGAGAAAAGAAGCGAAGAAAACTATAAAGAAGAAGTAGGCGAAAAAAGTGAAGTTATTTGAGGCACGTTACAGAAAGCTACATTAAGTTTACAGTAGCTCTTTACATAAATATAAAATAATTTTAACACCAGAGAAGCACAATAAACTATGAGCAAATAGCAACAGTAATTAATTTATTACACTATTTATCTTTGCTGTCAGGGAAACACTATTCTTCCTTGCAATGCCAGCATTTCAACTATTCTAAAGTTTTCTTTATGACAGCCAATGTCTGCCTGACAGTAAAGATAAATTTATGGACATGTGGGCCAGCAACTACATACTTATGCCCTAGTTCAGCAATAAGTTCTGGGTCTCCATACATGGTCATTTGTCCAGCTCCTTTCTCATCTCCAACAGTTATAAGAAACAGTGTCTCCTGCAAATAAAATATTTTTAAAAAGTGCAACAGATATGAATAACTAAATAAAATAAACCAATCCCTTGCCTTTTGATCTCCCACTTCATTAATGAATACACGCATATAATCTGCGTCTCCTTCATTCCTACAAAAAAATTGTGAAATGAATTTTATGCAGACTACATTTTAGATAGAAATTAACTTCAATTAACTATACAGTTATACTTGTGTAATACATATAACTTCGGCCGTGGTGATAAAGATAATAGTTTCTGTGCTTCATAAACTGCCAATTCCTTAAGGACTGTTGCCAGTTTCTGAAAGGGTTATATAAAACATTAATACATTATTTATTATAAGATACAACATTCTAATCTGAAAGAAATGCTTACTTTGTTGGTAACTTTCAATGATTTCTGTAGCTTATCCACAAGTTCAAAATGTACACTTGGACTGTTTCTATGGACAGACAAAAATGATTAATGTACAAGAGATTCATATTACAGCTGTAATATAATATAATTATTTTAGATGTTCAAATCTGCCAGCACGGATGAAAACAGGTAAATTTGTAGTATTGATTTACAGCTGAAATTTTGCAAATTTTCCATGGACAATTTTAGTACTATCTACAATTTTACCTATTTTTCCTTTGAAATGTCTATTGCCAGTTTAATCGATGTAACCAATTAAAATTCTTGTTACCAATTCCAAACACATGATTTTAATTGTACATCAAACAATGCAGATAGCTCTAGTCTATAATGGCTCAGAGTCAGTCAAGGAATTTATTCAGCGCTGATCTAGAATGTGTTGCAACATCTGCCTAATGCAATTTTTATGAACACAAAAAGCAATATTGTTTAGTTTTCATGCACAGCAACTATAAAATTTCAAATACAGTCTTAGTCTAAATTGTCAATTACAAAAAGTATTACAATAATACATCAGAAGACAGAGAACAAAGTTTACTTCAGTAATGTTGTCAAGGAACTTTCACGTTTCATCAAAGTTGCCATTTGATTTAAAACACGATTTCCAACAAGGAAATGAAGGTTTATCTTATTCTTCTTTCCTTTTTCAAAATGTAACATTTTGATAACTTGAAGTTGACTTAAATTATTAACATGTGTTCCACAGCACATGTTAGTATCTACTCCGTCTATAGTTATAACTCTGACAGGCCCAACATGATCATCTGGTAATCCACGTGTGTGTGCCTAAGAATAAAACAAAGATCTAATCACATACAACTTAATGCACATAGGTATAAAAAATATGATAGATATATACTTCAGACAGAGAGGGATCATCACGTTCGTACACAGTTACTGCAACTGGTAATGCAGCACGAATTTTCTCATTAGCTAATTTCTCCCACTCATCTACTTCAGACTGTGTCAATGAAGAGGTATCTGTAAAATTTGTCAGTCATTAATAAACACTAAAAAAACAAATATTAAAAGACACAAGCAAAGAGTAAAAACACCTCCAGCAGAGAATGAGACCACTTTCTACCACCTGTGGATTGTAAAGAAAAATCAAAGAATTACTTTTCTACAAACAGGAATTCTCTTCAAAATACAACTTGCAGTTTACTTTCTTTAGGAAGAAACTAGAAATAATACAAAAAATTAGCATTGACAATCTTCAAAACAAAATTCATACTCTTCATTAATATACTAAACCTCTTCTCGTTATCTTTCTAGTTGTGTTTATGGGGTCATAAGGATAATTCTTCTATTATGTGTTCTTATCCACGACAGAGCCCTTCTTGCAAACGACTCCTTCCTTCAAAGAATTAATGTCAAAATTTTCTCCAATAAAAATTAAATATAAATTTACTTTGAAGGTAGGCTTAAGAGAAAACTTTCTAGAGGTAAATATCTTCCACTCTTCAGGCAAATGAATTATTTCAAAGGATCTGCCATAAAACTAAAGGCCATGAATAGAAAATACATACGGAATGAGTCCAAACACAACTGACAAGAATAGTATAAATTTTAGTGAAAAGAGAAAAAAAAAGAGCATTACTGAAAGTAATTTTAAATGAGAGTGAATAAGAAAATTTGTACTGCACACTGAAAGAAGTAAGTGAATAAGGTAATATTTAAGCAAATTATTTTTAAGAACAATGGAACACACTGGGATAAGTTTCAGTCACGCTTTAAATCACATATTTAATTTTATACAAATTTGTACACTACGAATATATTTTTATAAACTTCATTTCTCTTAATATCTTAATGTTGTCTTTCAATGAACCCTAATTATCTTTCTTTTGTCCTAAAGATTACATATGAGTTGTCAACTTGCAAAGAAAGTGGCAGGTGAGTTAACTAGTTTTCTGGCTGTTCATTTCCAAATGATATTGAAAGAAGAAAGTTGGCATTCACCTGAAGGTGGAAGACATTTGATCTCAAAATGCCTTCTCCATTTAATTTTTATTAGAGAACATTTTGGCATTAATTCTATGTAGGAAGGAGATGAACACAATTGCAGACCTAATGTATAAATTTGCAGGAAGTGCTAGATAGGAACACATAATTGATGATTTATTCTAATGACCCCATAAACAAAACTAGAAGTATAAAGAGAAGAGATTTAGCATATTAATGAAATGCTCAAATTTTGTTTCAAGATTTTGAGTATTAATTTTTTGTTTTATTTCTAGTTTATTAGGCAAAGCTTATACATTCTTCAAATTCGAGGTAACCTAAAAATGCTCTGAACTCCAGGTTTATTAGCAATAATCTAAAAATATTGAAATAATGTTTTTTTTAAGTTCCATTTCGATATTTTTGTAAACTTTTATGGAAAAAGAAACCTACCTAGTTCAATGTAACTGGTGTCTGTTCCTAACCACCAAGATGTGGTAGGATATTTGAAAACAGTTTCTCCCAGTGCTGATATTAAATGTTGACCTACGGAAGGTTACAGGCAAATTAAGTAATATTACTTATGTGTTAAGCAAAAATGAAAAAATCCTAAAAATACAATGCTTACCTGAATGTTGCTGCATATGATCAAGACGCCTGTTCCAATCAAGGTGCTGGTCAACAACACTGCCCTCCGGAACTGGTTGTACTGCAAAATGTACTGCTTGCGTACCACGCCGAGTCACCTGAATGACTTCAACATCACCCAATAAGCCCTGGTCGCAAGGCTAGACATGAAATAAATTTTTAGTAAGTAACTTGTATAATTAAATGTAACAATCTGAACAATATGATAGAAAATATTTATTACTTGTCCTCCTCCTTCAGGGAAAAGAATTGTATCATCAAGAATAACCTCATAACCTTTCACAATTTCTTTCTTTCCATTTACTGTAGTTTCCAACTCCGATGGAGTGCATGACAGAACTGTAGATTTAAACTGAATACAAATTTAACATAACATTATTAAAAATGACAATTAATATTTTCTATTCTAGGGATAAACAATTTACCTCTTTTAAAAAGCTATCCCTTTGACAAGCAAAAACCATTTTTTCTCTCTGTGGTTTGTCTAATATATGGTATAAAATCTCTAGCGTGTCAACTGTGTAATAGCGTAAAAAAGTATGTCCAATATCAGTTTTTCTTCAACTGACAGATGTCATAACACGAAAACCTAACTAGTTATGAATTTTGTATCGCGACAGATCGTGGATTTTCTTATTATTTTGCGTACGATATAAGGTTTCTCGGCTTGAACCCTTCTTGCATCAAAGTAAGAATTGAATACCACCACAATAAATTCACGCAATTAATAGCTTGAATAGGCTTGCGTATCGCGCATATCATGAAACAACGTATTCATGATACGCATGCATCCACATCAAATCCCCACCCACGCACCATACATATATACTCTCTGCCATAGACAAACTAACTCCTAACTCCGCTAACCATCTATGCTGCAACGCCAGGCACTGTTCACACATGCGCATGCACCTCGTCTCATCAATACGTCACATTCCTCTCCCCCTCACCACACACGCGATCACTCTATGATATAGTACGATTTATTTTTTTGTGCACATGACACATATCAGCTGTTACGGTTTCACCCAATCGAGCATCTATGTCGCTACTGTGACGTCACTAAGCTCGTGATTGAATGAAACCGACAACAGCAGATTTACTTCAAATGTATAGTTAAATAAATCCAAGGGTAACTATATATACTATGTTCTCTACTATTCTCTGCTCTTCTACTATACTCAGATTTAAATGTAATATCAATAAAGAGTCAAGGTTAAAGGAGATGGGAACACTTTGATGAAATCGTTACCACTATTATTTTAAATTAAACCTCTCTATTGGATAATAGTGGCTCTCTCTCCTTCCACACTGTAATCTTAAAGGGTCACTAAATTTTAATTGGAGTGTACATTTCAGTATCCCTACCCTTTTTGTATTCTCTTCCCTCTTATAGTATTTGGTTATTCCAAGACGTTTGTAAAGAGTCTCATTGGGTAGTTCATTTTGTGTACATACTTTGCAATTGGTCGTGATTGGCTGATCGGTGGCATCAGCTGCAAGCAAGTGAAACGTACGCGTTGCATGTTGCAGCTACAAGCAGCATCGCTTGTAATTATCATAATGAGTTGACCGAAAAATATGCGAAATTTTGTGAAAAAATAATATTATATTTTTTGTTGGCGTATGTACTTAGTGACCCAATTTACAGTCAATAATTTTCGGTCGACGCTTGCCGCCTTCCCGCGACTGTTTTATTTCTTTAGTCTTAAATTTTATTTTTATAATGTGTCTCGATTTTCGTGCATTTTTCAGTGTTAATGACGTTTGAGTGAGTTAAAAATCCTTTAATTTAAGGAACTGAGACCGTGGAGAATGTTTCTGATTGCAGTGGGGTACTTCATTCGTGCATTTTTCATGACAATTGTGACGTTAAGCTTTGAAAACATGCGTAAAAATCATTGGTGAACCAATTGTTAGTGGCTATGGTGTTCACAACCCCAACTGTGGGAAAGCATCGTCTTCTGTTTTCTTAGAGAACAGTGGTATTTGCTAAAATTGGTGTACTGTGTTGTGAGTGTTACATGAGGAATACCAAAGAAGTCCAAATTACATTTTCTTGGAAGTGCTTAGAATGATGATACATAGTACAAACAGTTGATTTGCTTCTCTTGTACATAAAAGATTTTAATAGAATGCGATGTATCTGTGGAATTAATTGTTAGTCTTCTGAGAATACAATGTGCCCTTTGTCAGTCATTTGGAGGTTTAAATCTTAAAGCATTTGATAAAGAACAATGAGTTCAGTAAATACTTCATCAGGAGAGAACAGAGATTCAGGACAGGAGAGACATCCAATGGATTTAGCGTCCAAGAATGCTTTGAAACCAGGAGATTCTGTGAAAACAGTTGTAAGTGTAAGTCATTTTCGTTGCATTTTTTAAAATAGAAAATTGTTGAAATTAAGTGCATTTCATTGCAAAAATAGAAGGAAATTGTGGGCAATGTATTCAGATTGATTCACAAACCGAGGTACATGATTCAATGGTTTATCTCCTTCAGACACAGCAACCTGTTCTTGGGAGCCATGCCCGTGGCCCTTCAGCCACTCTGGGGCATGTTCAGGGTAGGATATTAAGCTCGGGCATCTCTACTGTGGGCCCTGTTCCTGTGTGTGTAACTACTTCCAACACCCAAGCCTCCACAAAACAAGGTATGTTGAGTTGTAGTAGTTCTAAATTGTCATATTTCAATGCAGGTAGTAATAGCTAAAAATTGTTAATTTACTGACTTCATTGCTATCGGAAGATTTGAAGACCTAAAGTAACTGAATTTAAGGATCAGGTCACAGGAAATTAGGAGAAGAAAAATTCTTTTATGTCTGTCTAGAAGGAAGAAAAAATTATGTTAGACCTACAAGTAGGTTCTGAGGGAAAACTTACTTCAGTACTGATGCAAATGATCACAGGAAAGAGTGAACTCAAGCAGTTTCTATAACCTTAATGACAGTCAATATAATAAGTTTTGTTGCACCGATGGAAGAGAGAGAGAGAAAATGTATTTTGCGGAAAATATAAACATTTGAATTTTCAAGGCAAATTCAGAAGAGAAGTTTCTGAGAACAGTACTTTTCAATATGAAGAAGTAGTTAATAAAAAAGTTTATGCTCTCTTCAAGGCAACAAACAGAAAGAAGGTAAAATGGTTATTTGAATGAAGTAGAGGTTCAGACGTTGCATTAAAAAAAAGAAAGAATGAAAGGTCTTCTTATTTAGTGCTTATTTAGTTCTTATTAGAGAAAGAAGGCAATTACGAAAATGTAACTTATGACAGAAAATTTGAAAATGCAAACCAGTAAGAGTGTGACTAAGAGGAAGACCATTGCAATGCAAAGTGGAGAAAAATGTGTACAATTATTTTTATCTTTTTACTAGTTTTTATGTTATGCCTAACATTGTGGTCAATAATCTTTTAAATTTCCTATAGAGGGAACAAATATTGAAAACTTCAAGAGAATAGGGAAACAATGAAAATCTAATTTTCTTAGAGTGCTAGGGTAGATTTTATCTATATTTGTGAATCTTCTCAATTATATTTTGAATCTATTTGCTTTTTCTTGATTCCCATCACTTCTACTTAACGAGGAAAGTTGTTTTCACTAAAATGAAATATTTGTATTTTCCCCTAACCCTTGTAATTTGCCATTGAATGTTTTTTTTTATGTTGTGCCTCACCTAAACAAAGCTAGTTCTTTTTCACAATCAGCAGAAATTGATATATATTCATAAAAGAGCAAGCTTTCATGAAAGATGGAATATGTTAAAAATGCCAAGAGCTCTTTTATTAATTTGTAAAATAATTGTTAAGATGTATATTGCTATATTTGACATTGAAATTGAAGGCAAAATATTGTGAAAAAAGGCATTTGTGAAATTCTGATTTTATGAATTTAAAAAGAACAATATTGTATTACATTATGATTTGTTGTACGGAAAAAATAGACAGTATTAATTTTGCTGGATAATTTTGAAATTGCCCCTTAGCTGAATGTTATGAGAATGTTCACAATTAATTTTATTAAAGTAAATTTTTTATGTCGTTTTCATTTTTCCTTTTCATTATTATCCATTCATGTGAATTCTTCTGATTTAAATTTTCGTAACTGTTTGTTGAATCTAACTGTCTGTTCTCGTATTTTTAGGAGGTGGTTCCGGCATGACTGATCAAGGAGGAGGCCTAGCCAGTGTAGTTCTCAGTATGTCTGATTTTAATAAATTATTTGACAATAATATGCAAAATTGAGTAAAATGCATAACAAACTTCCTTAAAATTATCTATTTTAAATACCCAAATTTTAGTATTAAACTTCAATAGCTAGCTTCCCTAGAAAAGAGAAACACTGGCAAAGTTTCTTGACACTAAGGTGTATTTTTTTAGATTTTAAGTAGATAGTTGGAACAAAGTTGATATTGGAGTGTTTGGTCTTAGAATTAGATTTCAGGTAAATGAAATCTTTTCCAATGTGATTTGTCAGTAAGAAATAGAGTGATGAAATAGTAAAGGGAAATGTAATTAGTAAGTCAAAACCTATTGCCAAAAAGGTCATATAAAATACATTATAATAATAAATTATTTTCACAATAATTTGCAAAATTGAGTAAAATACATTATAAACTTCCTTAAGATTATCTAATTTAAATATCACAAATTAAAGTATTAAACTTCAACTTCTGTCTTCCCTAGAAAAGAAGGAACACTGGCAAAGTTTCTTGTATTTAAGGTGTATATACACACATAAGTAAAATGAATATTTGTATTTTATTTAAAATGCATGGAAGAAAGATAATTTATTTCTAAAGTGTTCTAACTATACTTGTAATTCTTGCTACTATAACTCTTAAAGAGTTGTGTCCTCTTGTAGTGAGCGTCCCTCGGTCGGGGTTACCTGCAGCCGCGTCTGCTGCAAGTGGAGTAGCCTCCGTTGTTCAAAGCACAACATCGGGGTCTCGTTCCTCCTCAACTCCTACAGTTTCTGCAACTACTACTTACCATGTTCCAAGAGGTGCAGTATATAATATTACTCTGGCTATAAATATTTGGTTTAGAAGTGACTGAATAACTGTCTGTGCAATGTGAATGCAGCTGTATCAATACACTCTGATAAAGTTTCCCTAATAGATTCAGTTCAGTAGTAAATTTTGCAAAAATAAAAATGTTTTCCATTTTGTTATTTTCTGTAATCAGGTTGAGTTCTATTGCTTGCACTTTCTGCTTACTAATTTATTTTAATCTGATGTTTCAAGGATTATCCATATTTAATCCGTTTATCGTGTTTAAAGTAACAATATTTATTCAGTTGTATAGTGTCAGTTTGGTCCCTATTAACCAGCATGGTACATAAAAAACTTTTTAGATTCTTGTATTCGTATGTATACAAGTAGAATTGAGAAAGTTATGTAATGATGCAGAAAATCAATTGTGAGATTTGAATGCAAATACATGTTTTGGGGTCCCTGTTACCAAAAAAGGCTTTTTCAAAATGTCCGTCCATCTATGAACACCACTAGCGCCTAAATCATATGTAGAATTTTTCCCGAAATGAGTATTCCCTTGTCGATCTGGCTTGACTCACAATGCTGCGATTTTTAAAATCTTACTTAAAAATTGGGTTTCTTCAAATGAAATTTGTTATACTTTATTAGTTGTTTTATTAAGATCATGTTAATTTTTTGAAAATTTTAGTAGTTTTTACACAATACTGTGTGCAATTTTGTAAAAATAACAAAAAAAGATTTTCTCAAAAACGGGACCAAATTTTTTCTTTAAACTTTTGGTTGGGATAGTGATAAATGCTTCCTATGAAATGGCATAAACCCCATATTGCTCTTTCTTTTGTTTTTTCAAAACTTACAAAAATGTAAATTTTTTTATAAGCTTCTCATGTCGGTAATAGTTTTATTATTATTATTATTGTTATTATTATTTTGCTCAAATTATTGCATTTATAAGTACATTTGCTTTAATTTATGTTATATAAAGTTTTTCGAATAATGTTTTCTATGAAATGAGCTCCAAATTCCACCTTTTCAGAAACGCTCAAGTGCCATTTTCTAAAAATCTGCTCAAAATTATTTTCTTCAAACTTTTTGTTTGATTAGTGCAACTTGCCTGTTCAATGGAAGATAAAGTTCATTTTGGGGTATTCTTTTATTTTTTTCAAAAATGACTCAAATGTAATATTTTAAAATATCTCTCTTGCCTTTAATAAGTACGTTTCCTATGATTTTATATATTATTGCATTTGTGAGTGGAAGTGCTTCAAATAACCTGTAATGGAGTTTTTTGAAAACTCTTAAGAGCTTCAAATTTTGCATTTACACAAGAGCTTAAACAATATTTTCTTAGAAATCAAAGGCTTCAAATTTTTCAATGAAAATTTCTTTGTAGGACTAGCTTTTACACTTCTATATTATTCTTAAAGAAATATTCCAGTTCTACTGTTAGGAAACTGAAATATTGAGAAAATTTCAAAAAATGTTCCTTGGCCAGCAATTGATGGCAGCTGGCAAGTAAGTGGTAAGTCTGATAAGTTAGCTTGAACCAAAGAAATAAGATAATCAACTAGCATGAGTCTCTGTATGAGTATAAAATCAGAATTGAATTGAATTAATGCCTTATTTTACGTGGCGAGACTCGGGCCATCTGTGCGCTCTTCCGTCTGACCACGCAAATTTCACTACGCTCCGTATACCAACTAGCAGAGGATATTTCTTGGGCAAGAAACAGACGATCTTGAATTTAGCTCAGAGGCGTCATTTAGGCTTGAGGATCTTTTACATGCAAGTAAATCTACTAACATCGGACAGCTGGCTTTACTTCCCCTCCGAAGGAAGGCGTACGAAGCATTTTTCTCCCCTGAAAAATCCACGGCTTTGATCGGGTTTGAACCCACCAACTTGGGTATGCCAGTCCGATACGCTAACCGTTACACCATCGCTCGTTCAACGCCAAGTCTGTGCCGTTCTGTAGCCCCAGTAATTAAATTGGGCAGCTATTCAAATATGTAATATAAAATTACTTTAAAGGAAATAGCAGGAAACTGTGAGAGATAAATGGGAGTTAGACTAAGAATAATGGAAGGTAACTGCTGCACTTCAGCAGCTAGAAAAATGTATGTTACATTGTTGGGATTGAAAGCAATTTAGTCAAGAAAACTTACTTTTACGAAAAGTTGTATTTGAATTGGTAGATGTGGAAATTGTTAGTATGGTTCCAAAAATATTTGTATTTAGTTTCTATAGAGTGCATTGAAAATTAAAATCTGTTTGTTACTTAATTATTTCAAATTTATTTGATGTACATATTATTTACAAGTTATAATCCATTCCTACTTCACTGAGAAGATAAAGAAAACTGCAATGTAATATTTTTTTAATATCACTCATTTGTTTAAATCTTTTGTCAGTTCAACTGTTCATAATTCCAAGTCATTTGTTTTTAATTTATGTCATTTCTAATTGTGGCATATATTTCAGGTGTGTGATCATTCATTATATATTACAGTGAAATTTGTCTTAATAGTCGCTAACAATTCTGGCTTCTGGCAAAAGTAGACTGTATAAAGAGGTAGTGACTTAGTTTAAGGTTATGGCGTAACAGGAAGCGTACATCTGGTTTAAGTATCGTGGTAATAGTTATGAAATAAAGTAGTAAGTTTTCATGATAATATTTTTTAATTGTGTTAAACTACAAAATAAAACAGAAAAGGAATCTTGCCTCCTCTCAGCTAATGTGAAATGTCAAACACCTTCAGGCATCATTCATTTTTCTTCTCTTAGAGAGAACTATAACTGTAAAACATTTGATTCTGTTTATATAATATGTTTACTAAAAAAAATACTTGTTATTCCTAGGGATAGTTGGATTTATTGTAAGAATGGTTTACAAATTATCTGAAGAAAATCAATTTGAGCAAAGTAAAACCAGTGTATAACTGAGGTCTTAAAGTTTATCCCAGGTTGACTAGGTGACTTCATACTTTGACATTAAAAACTGGTTCTATTATTCTTGTATGCAGCAAACTTGAAAACTATATGTTTAAACATTGCTTGTTGTTTTCTTTACAGTAAAATGAGAATAATTGGAACTTATGTATACAGAAATCAATAAATAGCAAAATGTTCCTTGCAGGTGCTGCTGCTGTTGCAAATATTGCTGCACCACGACCTGGTACAACTTCTCTGGGACGTCCTACCCCTGGCGCCACTGCAATCACTCATGCGTCCAAGTGGGTGCACAGAACGGAGGCGGGCAGGTCGGACACCAGAAAGTTCGTAGGGCTGAGCATGAATTTATTGAATTGATTCCTTTGTTGAAATCAAAAAATTTCTTTTAACATTGCTCTAGTATTGTGGAAATGGTTTAAGGAATATAGTAGTATTGAAATATAGAATTAGATCAAAATTGATGTATTAGATTGGTGATGTGCATGTTTGTAAAAGTCATATGCCCTATGGAATGTTTATACTTGTTGCTGACCTGCCTGCTACAGAGAGCATGAAAGTCTTAAGTATATTCTGGAGAGTATAATAGTGTTCAATAAGATATCTTGTACAACATTCTAGATGTTCGCAAACATTTTGGGGTCATTTTTTCTGTATAAAGCATGTATATTTGGACTTCTAAAGTGATAAAGATTTTATTTCTGTTCTTATCAAGTTTTTGTAAAATTGCGCATGGTAGGGCAATGCAAAAATTAACTATCATTATTCTGAAAATTAGCAAATATGGATAAAAGAAGAGATACTCAGTTTTTGAGAAATATTTTCATGAAATTTGGATAAAGAATTTTTAAGGTTGTTTCTACTTTGTAGAAATTCAAAACGCTTGTGAATATTGCTTAAAATATTTTATTACAAATATGTTTCTTTAGTTTCAACTTTAAAATTTTCACTGTTACTGTATTATTATTTTGAGGCATGTGGGTGATGTATATGAGGGTGTTGATTGCATGAATGGTAAGTGACTTGCAGTGTATTACTCTAATGAAGAATACTTATGATTCAGTAGTAAAGTTATTATTACTGTTAATTAAAATTGTGTATGTATTCATGATGTGTTCAAAACGATTTGAAAAGTAGAATACCTAACTTATAGTTTAGTCCATAAATGTACATTTCCTTTTAAAATAATGTTCTATGAAAGTATTTCTTCCTCTTTGCAATTAGTATGAAACAATCTCTTAAAAATTTTCACTTTACTTATGAACACATGGAAAATATTATGTTTTAGCATTCCTACCGTTGTAACTAAACATTTAATCGGAGTTGCCATCACCTGGGTACCAAACAAATGGCCTCATACAACATATAGCCCCTTTGCACATATTTAAAAAAAGTTGTTGGAGTTTGATATTTGTTTAAAAATGTTATTCTCAGTCTTGGTGGATCACTCGCATTGTTGATCCAAACTATTATTATATTTTCTAATAACCTTTAAAGTCTATTGAAGCTTTGCTAGTTTTTTAGGAATATTAGGTTCAATGCTTCAGTGAGGTCTCACTTTATCATGTTTTAAATACCATGTTCTGACTGCCAAAAATAAATGTTTTCAATCATTTGTTACAAAAAAAGATATTGTTTAAGGAAAGTTTTATCACAGTTTGTTATTACCATGCTGGATCTTTAATAGTTTTATATTATTTGCTTTCTTGTCATTACTATTGATAGTATTGTTATTTTTTGTAATACTTTTAATATGGTTTTTGTAGTTTGGTCACAGGGCTTAGGGGCATTGTACCTCGTGCCTCAAGTCCTGCTACCACATGGTTGGGAACTGTATCTCAGTCATCTGCCACTGGTGGTACTTCAAGACCACGGACTCCTACAGTGACATCAATGACTTCATATACACAGCCCCGTACTCCAACTCTGGCAGGTAAATATTTATTTAAAGGTAATTTTCCATCTAAGAGCAGATAATTCTTTCTGCAGATATAAAACATTTTTATGTTCCGTTCAAGTGTTTCTGCTTTGAAAAGGATGTGAAATCATAATATTTATCTTCAATATTTAAAGTCCTTGATAAAAAGATTTCATACTTGCTTGTATTACTCTATAGTTAACCCTTTGACTGCTATGGCTGGGCCTAGAGTGAGTCACACAGTGTGCGCAATACATATGGCCATCAGCGCCACTGTGTGCTGATCCTACCAGTCAGGCTGAGTTCGACACTGTCAGCCTGCAGTAACTTAGACATTATGTAGCAAATCCAATCATAACCGAATGCAGAAACAGAGAAAACTTCAGACAACTTAACCACTAAAAGGCAAGTAATAAGACAAAAGAAAGCCTGAATTGAGAAGGACCTAATGGAACTAATGAGGGCTTCAGTGTTTGAAAAGTTAACAGCAATAGAAAAGAGTTAGTGTGACTATAAATTTCTTTTTGTGAAGCAGTCCCTGATGAGAGAGAAAGTTCCCAACTGCTTCGAGCTCAATTGAGTGATGTATACATTCTAACGTAGAGGGCCTTAAACCAGACAATAAGTATTCATATTGTAGCATAGTCCCGAACTCATATAAATGCAAGACCAGTAAACCAGAATGGCATTAATATGTCAAATTAATATTCTAAATCATGGATAGGTACCACTAAAATCATTTTAATCATTTGGCCATCAGAAAACGTATTGTAAGAACAAGAATGGCCTCGTGGCTGTATTCGTCCAGAGGCTCCCACTGACTGCGCATGCTGACTCGTCCAGAGGTCCTCAGGCATAGAAATTTTGTGCGTATCAACACATCCAGAGCAGTCAAAGGGTTAATGCTGGAACCAATTGTTGTCGTTTAATTTTTCTTTTGATTTCCATCTTAATGTTTTATAGCTGCAGTTCCAGAGCCAAAAAAATGTTGGAATAGGTTACTGCAGATTAACATTACTTTCTCATGCAACAATAAAACATTTGTTGGGCTAAAATTGTATGTACTGATGTTCATTAAGTTTTGATTACATTTTCCATTTTCAAGCTAAATAATCAAGTGATTTTCTATGAGCAATTGAGGAGAGAATCAACATCTAAAAAGTTTTATATTAGTATGTTCACTTTTGTATTTGTTACACACTGTGCAATTTCTGATTGTAATTGTAAGATTTAGATTAAAGTAATGATTAATTATATTATTTCTGTGTTTTTAAAATGTATATCAAAGGCTGTTCGAAAAGATAAAATGTTAGCCACATGCTGAACTTGAACATCCATGTCCTCTGTATTTTGTCACTGTTGTAGTGACATCGAGACCAGCTACCCCACAAGGGACTCGCGTACAAGTTCAGGCAGAGCCATTACGGAGCCAGAATCTGCATTCAAACTTACAAAAAGTGCCCACAGTTCCCACTTCTCAGGTGAATAATAGTAATTGACACGTAATGGACCATATTTAGAATTAGAAAGTTGTGCAAATGAAAAATGAAAATGGTTTCCTCAGAACATATCTGTTGGAAGTGCTGCTGCTCAAGTGTTGGTGTCTCAACCTCGGACGCAGCAGCCCACTGCTCCAACTGCATCTTCAATTTCATCTTCTGCTACTGTTGGGGCGCAAGTGGTTCCAGGATCCACCACAATCACATCTTCTCCTTTGGTAGCTGTATCTTCTGTAACCTCAGCTGCAAGTGGCACAGCCTCTCCAAGACCCGTGCAGGCTGCTCTTTTGAGTGCCACTCCTCGTTCGGCACCTGTTACATCTAATGTACGACCAGCAAATTCTGTGAATGCAACAGGCAATCGAACAGGCACTGTGACTGCTACTGTAACAGCTGCAACAGCAACTTTGGCCCTAGCAGTTGGGACACAGGTAAGTGTATATAGTGATCTTGTACCAACCTGAGTTCTTAAACAAAAGGCATCACATACGTAAAGAATAATATTTGTTGATCCAAATGACTGTTGTGTGTGAATTTTAAATTGAGTAGTAGGAATGTATTCTCATAATGATGTTGATGTCCCTTCTAAATTTGATATGCTATGGAAAGAACATGATGTAAGATGTATAAGACTTCATGAACACTAAATTCGGTAAAAATGTGACTGCTGGATAGGGGCTATCCAAGGGTGCAACAAATCGAAAAGAAAAGAAAAATATATATATTTTTGCCACAATTTTTTCGGATGCTGAAACAGTTTTACACCATGGTAAGGAGCATTATCTAAAACAAAAACTCTGTTCAATTCTAATAATGAAGGACACAAACAAACCAATCACTAAAAGTGTCGCTAGTTATTTCTTTCTGGAAATCAGAAGATTTTTCGTATTCAAAAACAAACAGTGACCCTTCTACAAATCGTGCTTCACTGCCTCTGTGGGCCACAATTAAACCCCTGCCCTTTCCTGAAGGATTTTTTAACCCAGTTGAGAAACCACCTAAGAATGCCTGTTTGTTTTGTTTCACTGTTGAGTCAACCCACACCTCGTCCATAATATGTCCATCTGTCACCCATGTTTCATCCATGTAATAAATTATTTTATTCTGTTCCCGAATGTTTCTTAAGTAGTTGCGCTTCCATAATACTAAATCGTTTATGTCAAGATTGATTAGATTGATGAGATTCTTTTTCCCTCTCGTTTGGAATACAAATTCTGAGGGACAATTAAATTGTACAAACTGATTCTCATAAAGCCTGCAGTCTTGATTAATGACAGATTAGAAACGGGTATGAGTCACTACTCGAAAACTATTTTCTTCTGAACTTGCCTGACGCTACGGCAAGCATCCCAATGTACATGCTAATGTTTACATCCACTTTTTACTTATGGTGAATGGAGAATAGGTCCTTGCAATTATAGTGTATACTAGTTGAAAATCAACAGAAGGAAAGAATATATTTTTGTGAGCAAAATTAAACTTATCAGTATTTTAATTTTTTTTATTACAGTTTCTAGAAAATTTGATTATACACAGTTGTTAGATATATATAAGCAAGTTACAGAAGACAGGTTTTAATTTTCGTTTAACAGGTCGTTAAAAGGGTCGTTAGATCGTAATTGACAGGTCGTTAAATCGTAATAACTATTTGTAATAGTGTGTAATAATTTATATTTGTAATTTCTTCTATTCTGAAGGCAGAACAGTAGTGTGTGCTTGTGTGATATTTATAGGTGCGTCCCCGATTGACCTCTTCTGGACCCAGCCGTTTGACAACTTCGGTTCCTGCCCCACGTTTGCTGACAACACCTGCTCGGCCAACTACTGCAACAGCTGCCACGGTTCTTCCCACTCAGGCTCGCTTGGGAGTCCCAGGAGCAGCTAGTGTCGTGTCACTTCACCCTGTTGTTGTCTCAGCAGGTGGTGGCCTGCCATTGAAAAATGCATCCACTCGCCCCACCTTAGGGCCCAAGGTATTTTCAATATAATGCTGTTTCTGTCTCCTTTTAAGAAGCACTTTTGTATTTACTGAAGAATGTCTTTTCCTCTTTAGGTGATTTCACAACCAATGCATGCTCCGGCATCAATTCAAATTACTCAAATGCCTGTTAATGCTGTTCAAGCTCCCACAAAATTACCAGCAGCTTCAACTGCATTGTCTCAAGCACCTGCAACACGTACTGGTGAGCAGAAAATGGAAATTTTTTATAGTAATTTAATTTGGCTAGAAGATGTAATGAGCATTGATGACATGAAATATTGATGCACATTGAGATTTGCTTCATAGAAGGTGAATGGAATTTACCGTACTTGCTCATGCATAGGCCGTGTCCGTGAATAGGCCACACTCTCAATCTTTGTCACAATAATTTTTAAAGGGAAAAAAAATCTTGGGTATAAGCCACACTGAATAATTTAATGTCACACAGGAAATTTTGTTGTAAAAATATGTATTAATTTTTAAAAAATTGGTAAATCGTTAATGCGAAATGGAGGGGGGAGTGCTATGCCAAGTTTGATTGGCTGTATCTGTGTATCTGTCAGGACTTCGTTACTTCCAACCCCTGAGAACAATTGAATCGTTTATTTCAGAAACCTGTCAAACGCCAATATATATAACACGCTTCAGAGACGGATTATTGTTTCAGGAACATAGACACATCGTTTAGTGCATATTTATATAAATAATATTTATTTACGAACTCCTTAAATAAAAAAAAATATTTGAAATCTAAAAAAATTGGGAGACTTATTCTGAGGTTTCTCAAAGAGAGGGATTTGGCGTTTGACAGACTTCTGAAATAAACGATTCAATTGAGGCAATGTGACGATAAGATGCCACATGACTTCTGAAGTGGACATCCTGCATATTAGAGTTCCGTTTAGTTCTATTTTGCGTGCAATTTCACCAGATTTGCGAAAAATGGTTTTTTTCTACGAGCACAACCCCATCTACTGTGAAACAAAGAAAATATTTCAAACTTTTTCTTGCGGAGAATCCAAATCCGCTATAAAAAATAGGAGTTCCCATTTGATTGTCGCAAGTTGCCACACCTGCAGGGGTGGAGGTGGCAGCTCGAGATTGGTATCATCCAATAGGCCCCTCTGAGACAAACAAATTTCATTCAAAACATTTCTTGATACAATTCTTAGGTTTCGAAATATTTAGTTGTCCCAAGATAACTGTGTGTGTGTGTGTGTGTGTGTGTGTGTGTGTGTGTGTGTGTTTGTTTGTTTGTTTGTTTCGACCTGAGAATGGGAGAGTACAGTTTGTGTGAAAAGAAGGCAGTATTTTAAGAAGGAAAATTTCAGTTTTAGTATAATTTTAATTTCTAATGAAAATTAGTGAAGTAGGAAAGGAGAATTTACACCAAATAAGTACCTTTAACAGGAATTTTGCTAATGCATAACTTTTAAGAAATTGTATAATTCAGTTGTTTGCCAAAAATAAAGAAAAGATGAAGGACTTTTGTACACATAACACAAACATTTATGTATTCATGTTGCTGAAAATCTGAGAAAAATAAGCATTTATACTAATAAAAGTGAATTCAATGACATGTAATAGACATCAATTCCACAAAAAGGAGTATATGAGTAGATACGAAATATGAGGCTCTTCTTCAAGCTTTGATGCCGTGACCTTGCAAAATTTGGTAAAGATTAATACAACACATATGCGGAAATTAAATAAATTAAACTATATACTGGTAGATGCACCACAATCCTTATTATGAAAAGCCATTTGAAGCATTGAATGCAGGAATATTAATACAAAATATGGTGAATTTCCCCGAGATGTTTCAAGACTTAAAAATAGATAAAAGTTATTGTGAAGAGATATTCATTTCTCAGATTGAGAGAATTAATGGACTACAGAAGGCGTTCTATATTTATCGTGTTATAGAAATAGAGAAGTTCATTAAAGATACACAGTATTTGCAGTTCTTATTTTACTTTATCTCAATGATTGTTGATAAGATAAAACTTCTGCTTTGATAATAACTCAGTTTAACTTCTCTGCCTTGTAGCAAACACTAGAAGGTGAACTAAAATGAAATGAAAAGAGTATATTGAAATGTTCACAGTGACATATTCGACTAATGCTGCCATGGTGACTGGTGGTGGGGGAAATACTCGCCCTGTGAATGTCACAACATCTGCTCTTGCAAATCCTGTTACGAAGGTTACCCTTCATGCAGCTGTAACACAGCCCTCTGCCACCCAGCCAGTTTCTCAGCAGCCCCAGACTCAGCAGTCCTCACAACCGCAGACACAAGCCAGTGTGTGCATTCAACACAGAGTCTCTCCAGGTAAAGTTGTACAATTTTTGATCTTCTTTTGACTTACAGTAAAAACACATTTATTATATCTTAACTCTAGAACCTAGTGATTTCTTTTTTCTTAAATAATTAAATAAGCCACCTCTTCAAGGCACACTACATATTCAATAGGGCTTGAACTTCAATGATACAGAGTATGGATGTTGGTGAGGAATGATTGTGGATGTTCGGAATGCATTAACATTCGTATCACATTTTAATGTGAAAATTAAAAAATGAGAACATTTTTGTTTTAGCACCTTCTACTGGGACTACACCACTGGCAGTGGAACACACAGGTACATCGGTTCTTTCAACATACAATATTCCGGCCTATTTGTATGAACCTAGTGCTGGAGGAGGAGGCAGCACATATCAGGTGACTGGAGTGGTCGCTCGCCCATATCCAGCAACTGGAGGAAGCAATGGGGCTCCTGGAGGAGCAACAACTTACACAGTGCAGACATCTGCAGCAGCTGTCCTGAGACCTAGTGGTGAGGAACTGTATCTTTTATTGTTTTTATGTCTAATGTATCTTTTATTCACAGATTCAACGTAGTCATTTGAGATCTACGCTTTTACTTTGCCTTTCCTTGTCAAGAAACTCGGATAGAAACACAAATTTTTTTAGAGGCGATAAAATCTATGCTTATCCATAATATGTTATATTATACGAAAGTATTGTTAACATACAATGCAGATATGGTGGGTGATTCAGACCAATTTTGATGGACCCTTAATGAAAGAATAAAAAAAATGGCATTTTAGTATATGAAATTCAGTGTTGAAAGTATTGAAACTCATTGCTGAGATTTTGTCACACAATCTACAAGGTCGCACAGACTCTTGCTTGGCCACTCGACATACGTGAAGCGTCTCTCTCCCGAACAATTAAAAAATTTATTTCTTCTAGATTTTAATATAGTATGAAGGGTCTAATTCGAAACCTAGCAATATCCAGTTTTCATGATTTTGCTACAGGGCCCAAAACTTATCTGACCAGATTGCTATAACCGTTTATGCCCACTAGGTCATTAAAGACCTTCATAGAAAAATTGTCACAATTGTGGTTTGAAACATGACGTGTCAAATATTTATCTTTTATTCTACCAGACATCCCTTTGAAATGCCTTCTTGGCATTTCGTGCATCTCAACGCTCGCTCAATTTTTATTGCATTTCTGAGAATATTTCCATGCACATGTGTTGGAAATATTCTTAGAACCTGCAACTTCTACGAAAGAATCTTTTCGTTAGTGAGAGCTAAGAGACTCAGGTACAGTAATTTTGCATTGCTGAGATCCTAAAATGTAAGTCTTTTGAATTATTTACGTATTTGTGATAATTTTGCAGTTCCCCTTGCGTAAAAACCTGGTGGGTCCTTAAGGACCTAGTGGGAAATAAATCTTTGCCATATATCTTCTTACATTTGGTAATTCTTGTGTGTTACTTTCATTCTGGTGTATGCATTCTTGTATTTTGCACATTTAGGTCACATAAAGTACTAAGAACCCACAAAATTCTTTCATTGTTGGACACTACAAATTTCGAGGATGTGCAAGGAGATGTCAACATGGAAATTACAGCCACAGTTGCTGAAAACAACTCCAATGTGACTTCAGAGATAAAATGTGCAATGATTCTGATCGTCTCAACAAAAATTTGCTTGAAGCTCATGGAGAGTTCTGGAGGAACCCTCTGCAGTCGGCTTGATAGGACATAACAATAGGAAAGACACGCAGTATTGAGTTGCACGGACAGGAAACCAACAGTTTTCAAATTTCTTCTGCCAGTGCTTCTGTCTATTCGAGAATCATCTTAGACTTGGTCAGATAATTTTTCTGAATTTGTTTCTCAGAATGCACTCAACCATTTGAATCACCATCAACACCATCTTGCAAAGAATGATCTACCAGTTTTTTAAAACTATTTTGTGATGAACCTTTGGTGACATTTTGTGAAGATATCAGTATTGCATGTAAGGATATTATAGGATGGGGTGGACCAAGTGGATCTAAACATAGCCTGTTACAAAATTAGCATTAGAGGGAGCAATTCGAGTTCCAGTAATTTCTGCATGTTTGATGTGGCTATAAACAATGGGTAACAACTAGCAAAAGCCAGTCTTTAGATAATGTAGTTTTGCAGAGAAATTGCAAAGATTCTGCTACATAAATATGGTGTTTCACATTTCCAAAAAACTGAAGAAAGTTCACATGTAAATTCCAAATTTCCTTTTATGATAAGTGTTTTTATGTTCCTAAATAAGTTGTTTCTTGTTGTTGTTTTTATTCATTATAAATTTATATTAACAAACTATAGAAAAAAAAATATAATGTAAAATATTTTCTCTGTAACAATGTCACACACATTCACACTATTAAAAGAAGCCTAATATCAAGTTTTGAAAGAAATTACTGTGAAAAAAGTTCTGAGCATTAAAGGATTAAGAGTTTGTTGTTTTATCATTAGTTTCAACGATTTCTTAGATAAATGCTTTCACATTTCCTTTTACAGTTACAGTCATCTGGTTAGGATCACATAATTGGTATTTGAGATTGCTGTTACTGTAGGCAACAATTTTGTTTCTCTAATTTGTTTTAGAAAATTACCAATTTTGACACAACCAGTTTTTGAATATTAGTGGCTTTGACTTAAAAAAAAAAAATGACACACTTTGCGAAGTTTTAAGGTACCCTGGAATGGGCAGGTTCCAATTGTTCCAGAAGCAATAACTCAGTTTGAGATAACATGGAGATTACTGGGTTTGAAAGTCATTTACGTGCATTTAATTAAATTTTATTTTTAAATAAAATTGTATTGTTTTTGAACATTTTATTATTATTTTGGATTGATGTTCCGAAATGTTAGAAATATCATTATAAAAATTATCTTTGGTAATTAGCATTACTTCTTTTTAAAATTCATATTCGGTAATTTCTGCAAATAATAGTATAGAACTTGCATTTTTACTACTCGCTATTTGATTGTCTTCATCTGAAGCCGAGTGGCTTGGAATTTCAATGTGTAATTTTGCATTTCTCAGATTTTCCTAACACATATTCCCGCTGTTTTTCTTCCACTTCAGAAACTGTAATGTGGGAGAATTGTTTTCCAGGTAAATCTGGTTCAAATGTGCCTTGTATTTTGTTTGTTTAGTATTTGTTAAGTTTCATTGTATTGAATTTTTAAAATTCTTGTCAAGTAAAACAAATGCTTTTATATAAAATCGTCTGACAGTTGTTCTTTAATGCTTTTTTAATTTTATTTTTTATTTTTGTATATTTGTTTATTACCTGTTGTAACATTTTTTATATATCAAAAATATTGAGCAAAGAGACTTCAATTTGAATATAGACTTCTCAGCAAAAGAGGGACCTAACATATTCTAACTTATTTGATTGCTAAAAGTTTTCTTACACCAGTCCTTTTCATTTCTGTTTACACTTCTCACTCTTCCTGTGTGGTTTGTGCAGGCGTGGTGGCCACCAGTTCACCTGTCAAGTTCAACCCTGTTGTGGTGGTGGATCCCTCACGTTCAAGTTTGCCTGTCCATTCCTCTTATTTACAAGAAGGTAGTAGCAATTAGGGTTCTATTAAAATTTTTCTGTTTTGTATCTTCTGAGACTATCACAACTTCTGTTTTTCAGATTCTGTTTTTATTGCTTGATAGATTTTGAAAGTGCTGAAAATAACCTTGTACAAGCATGGAATTCAGCATGAAGTTGAATTGTGAGTGACAGATATATTAACTGCTAAGTAGAGGGCAGCTTTTTTACACAAAATGTCTGTCTGGATTTTATGTGTACAAATGTATTGGTTGTCTTGGGTGTGGTGGCAATAAGGTGTAATTTTTCTTTGCATCTCTTTTCAAATTGTGAAATGTATATGCATGTATGTGTGCTTTTGTTCATAATTCAACTTTTTCAAATTATTACGCATGTATGTATACATCATGCAGCATGATCTTATTGGCACATTTTTTCCAGGGACCAAAAATGTTTAACATCAAAACTGGGAAAACGTATTGAAACGTATTGAAAAAAACTCAATTGTAATTTGCACTTTCTTCTTCACACACTGTAATACAGAATAGAAATTAATTTACTTGTAAATAACATACAAATATGCCTGAAATAAACTAATTTAATGGCAAGTAATAACCAAATAAAAATGAAATTGCAAGCAACTAACAATCAAACATTGAAAATAATGCAAATTCACAGAAGAAACAACAATAACAAAAAACTGATATCTTCAACCTATGAAATTTTAAAGAAAAAGAGGAGCACATGACATACTACAAAAAGAAAAAATAAGAGATGATAATAGAGGCATGATAAAACATTTATCTAATTTGGGTTTTATAATCAAATAAACGGAAAATGCCCTCAATACTTTCTGCTAGTACTCTTTTTTTATATTCACTAGTACTTGGTACTGTAATGCCTACCTTTGTACTTTTTATAGGCACTAGTACCAAAGTTCGCTGCAGTTGCTCGGGAAACATTACAATTGGGAACATAACCAACAAACTGAAAATATGCTAAGTGGGATTGTTAAATGTGTAAAAAGTAAAACTTCATTTTTACATTTTCAGGGGTCTGAAGGGGGGAACATGTGCCTGTGAGAAAAACCCATACCCTGAAAATGAAAATCTAGGTGAAGATAAAAACTCAATATTTTGACAATACTGTGTTAGAAAATCATATGAATATAATATTGTCCATACGATATATAACATTTTCAAGAAATAAGTTCTCACTTTTGAAAAAGAGTCTGATCTTACACAGTTACCCATACTCTACACGTAAACTATGAATTTCCCCCTCCAAATGTCCAGATGTTTATTTTGCAATGTTGACACACCTTATGCAACTTTATTCTAGAGAACACTTGTGCACATTTCTCAAAGGTGTACCAAGCAACTAGCCAACAATTTGCAATGTCTTACCAGGTGGCACCCAAACATAACTACAATGGTGAGCACTTCTGTCATTATCCTTTCACTCTGTGGTTCAGCCTCTGCAAATCCTGTCAGGTTCCAATGGAAGGCTGACACACCGTGCCTACCCAAAAACTATACAACCTGAACACTGAACCCAACAGATTCTTTGGGCTGCTCTAGGAAGATGTAATCGTTGTCTCTTTTTGATTGTCTATGTTGGGATGTATATAGTCTGGACTTTTATTATTATCATTTATTTGTTTATTTATTATTAACAAACAATTTGTTTACAATTTACTACAATACAAAATGTTGGAGTAACATTAAGATACAAATATAATACATCTCACTATACCTGATTACAAAATGACATCTCTCAAAATTTACAATGTAATAAATGAAATAAAATATTGATACAATAAGACAGAATGTAATCATCTAAATATTAACAAACATCATTCATTCTTCCATAGTTTAAGTCTTTAAGGCCATTTTTAAACTTCGTATCTATATTAAAATTGACATTGAAATCAGCCCCAATTTCATTTGCACATTCACAGCCCTGCACAATTTATCAAGAGGAGAATTTACAGTATACACTGATTAATAGAATTTGAGTATAAAATTTCATGTTTGGATTAATAACTACAGTCAAAACTTGATAACTCAAGTTGAAGCAATTCCCGACCATGTTATACATATTTTTGCTGTAAGACTGTCCCATTAACTCAAAATTCGATACCACAAATTTCTCGATATCTCAAAAGATAATTTTCTTCCCCTGAGAGAAAAATTGTACTTTTAACTCAAAGAAACTGACAAAGTTTGTTTTATTTACTAGGCTGTCCGGGTGACGCCGCGTCCATGGCAAAGGTGCCAACGTTTCGGTCGCCATTCTGCGACCTTCCTCAGGGCGTAGTGTCTGATGCATTACGCCCTGAGGAAGGTCGCAGAATGGCGACCGAAACGTCGGCACCTTCGCCATGGACGCGGCGTCACCCGGACAGCCTAGTAAATACTGACTCCGGCCGCGGAAGCCTACGCTCTCAAAGTTTGTTTTCACGTCTAGAAATCCAGACCCTCGGATTTATTTCACATGGAACACTGACAGCTCCTCTCTGCACTGTTGCCATTTGCTTTGAATGCCTAGACCAGCAAATTTTGTATTGCTCACAAGCTCTTCCCCCCAGTTGTGTGCTAGCTCTTTTTTTGTCAAAAACTAGTGCAAAGCATAACAGATGGACAAACTTGCTCAAATCATTAACTTAAAATGAAAAACAAATAAATTGTGAAGTGAAGAAAGATGGGGGAAAAAAATCTGTGAAAACTATCAACACAATATCCTACCTGGATTGTTAGGGAACTACAAACCAGAAGATGTGTTTAATGCTGATGAAAAAAAACTATTTTTTAAATGCTTTCCTGAGAAAACATTAAAGTTGTGTGAAATGTGAAATATGTCAAGGTGGTAAGAGAAGTGAAGGTAGGGTAACAGTGATGGTTTCAGCAATTTATTGATTTATTTCAAAACCACTTAAAAACTGTGTGTGATTTGCAATGGAGAGAAGTAAATTTGAAGTTACATTTTTGTCCAGAGGCAAAACAAGGTTCATCTCAGCCCAAGGATCAGGGAAACGACGAAAACCTGATCGAGATGGGATCATTGTCCCAGAAGCTGAAGTACAATACTTGTTAGAGTTTCTTTAGGATTATACAAAGCAATTGGTAAATAATAAATTAAATGTCATTGTTAAAATTAATTTTATTTTCCTTTTGGATGCTCGGTGTAGTCTCTAATTGTATAGAAACAGTTATGCAGCAGAAAAGATTTTACTTGGAACTTAAATTTTTGCATCGAATTTAATCGTTGAATGTCATCTGGCACAAAGTAAAATATTGTATATGTATTATATGTGAATAAGATGTATTTCCCCAGAATATTATGCCATATCTCAGGAGGGAATGAACATTCGCAAAATATACACAATGAGCAGTATGGAGACAAACTGAATTTGAAAGAATTCTGAAAGCGTAGCATAAGTAACTTAATTTAGTGTTCAATACATTTACATGGACATTCCATTTAAGGTTTGACTGAATTAAAAGACCTAAAACTGTTGTTACCTTAACATCAGTTAATGGCACACATTTTCAATAGAGTACAGAAGTGCATTGAACAGTTTGCTTTTCATTTACTATTAATTTATTGCAGAACAAATTTGAAGTATCTGATATTGTACTATTTATGTTATCTTTATTGCGAAGAATATTTGTAACTTTTGCCAAGAGAACTGCATTTCTAATCGTTGAAGGCATATTGTTTATGTATAGTAGGAAGAGAATGGGGCCTAAAATTATTCCCTCATGCAATTGGCAAAGAATCGGAAGGTGTGTACATAATGTTCCATTATTCCAGGTGTTTCTACTCTTTGAGATTGTTGTTTAAGGTACAAACATAACCAATCCAGAGCAATGTGAAAACCTGTCGTGTTTACTAGAAAATTTTTCCATTCTTATTTAAAAAAAGTCTCTCTAATATTTTTGGGGGGGAAAACGACAAAAGAGAAATAGGCTGATAATTTTGAATTTCAATTTTGTTGCCTTTTTATGAAAAGCAGCTTAAACTCAGCTCTTTTAAAAATACCTGGAAAAATTCCTGTGCATAAGGATGCATTAAATATGTGAAAAAACGTGTGTATAATGGCGGGTGCACAAGTCTTTAACAAACAAGTTGGAAATCCACCTAAACCGGCCGAATATTTATTTTTTAGTCTACCGACCATCTTGAGAATTTCATTGGAAGAAGTTTCAGAAACAAACATTGTGTCTAAAATTTTTGGGGAAACATTTGATGTTGAATTTTGTGGCTGAAGACCCTTAGTGAAATCGACAGCATTTCTCGAAAAGTATTGGTTAAAGACACTTGGCACTGTTACTGGATCATTCACATTTCTATCGTTATCTTTTAAAACATTCTCTAAAAGGTTCCTAGTAAATTCGCTCGATTTTTTTACTATATTCCACATTGCTTTTGTTTTATTATTTGATTTCAAAATATCATGGTCATGTTTCATGATTTTAGCATGCCATATGATTTTTCTTAACGATGATTTGTATTTTTTAAATCTCGAAATACGTTATGATGCTGAGAAATGAAAGAAAGAATTTGTTTGTTTTTACATGATGCCCTAATGCCTTGTTATCCAAGAATTGCTTTTCCCTGAAATATTTAATTTTCTTTTTTGAAGAGGAAAGCAAGTGTTAAAATGAAATGACAAATGGCAAATATGGCAGGAACCGGAAAAGTTGTCTTGGCGTTTGGTATATCCGCAAAGCCTAGATGCTTTTCAGGAGTGAAATCTATTTCTGTATAAGACAAACATAACAAGAGGTCGAGGATGTCAATTTTTCAATCTTGGCTGAGGGAATGTGGAACACACACTCTCTCCAGAAGGAGAATAGGACAATCATTTCTATCTCGTTAAAACCTCCCCCAGACAACCACACACACAAACACACACTCCGAAGACAACTAAGAACTTAAAAGCAGTTAGACTTCCTCACTTCCCACGAAATAAAGCATCAAAACTGGAGCATATGAGTCAGGGCATTAAAAACATGAAGCATTTCGACAGAAAAATGTCTCTAATAAGTACTGAGAAATTTTCAATTATGCTACCAGATATCTGATTTAAATTTACGTGATGCTATTGTGTTGCTGCAAAAATCATGATCAGTTGTGAAATCAGAAACAATTGCATACTGTTTCGAAAAAGCCAGATTCTGTCAACACGAAGAAGCAAGACATAAACATGAGAATGAGGAGGATGTAAGCATTTCTATCAGAGACTAGTGGAATGAATTTACATCTTTCGTATCTTGCAAAGAGGACTACAACAATTTCATTAATATGGATGAAGAACTCACCATATAAAAGCATCCTACAGGGAAAGAAATTTTAGATTCAATAAAGGTATCAGAACAAGAGGACTCGGCAGAGGAAGAAGAAATGGGAGAGGCACACAATTCTAAACCTCCTTCTGCCTCACAGGCTCTGAAGGGCCTAGACAATTTTCAGCGGTATGTTCAGGATCAGATATCAGTCGGTGAGGACATTTTTAGTGCAGTGAATTTCCTAGAAAATTTTATGGAACAAAAATTAATGGAAAACAAGAAACAGAAAAAAAATTACTGACTTTTTTAGTCTCTAAATCCTTGAATTCAAAACCTCAGTAGTACCAGGTAGGGCTGATTTTTAAAAAAAGGTTAGTTTTAAAATCATCTATTAACTTCTTTATTTTTTCACAATATTTTGTATCTGAGAATGAATGCTTATTATATAATTCGTGAACATCAATTTTATTATTTGACTATAATATTTAACCCTGCCTAAATAATGAACAATTCATGATTGTTTGTTTCTTTTTTTTTTAAGAAAATATATTGATATCTTGAATTTTTGATAAGTCGAAGAAAAATTACACTTTGGAGACACTTTGACATATCGAGATTTCACTGTATTTCATGTTTGGATTGATAACTTGGACCCTGAAATTTTAATTGGTTAACAAGAGATTGCCAGCAAAAACATGAAAATTTTGACATTTTAAATGTTAAAGCTTTTTTAATTATTTAGTCTTTCCTGAACTTAGTGATATGCCTTTTATTATATTATTATTATTGTTATTATTATTACAAATTTGTTTTCTTTCTCTCCAGATACGACCTATTTTCTCAGAAACTACTAAAGAAAAAAGAATGAAATTTTCAGGATAGCTTTATGTAAACATGACTGAGCTACTTTAACAAAATAATGAAATACATCGCAAAATTGTTCTAAGTAATACATATCTAATTTCTAAAACTCTTTATTAAAATCATGTAAAATGGTTATACGATATCCTATTCAAATAATCTTGGTTAAGAATAATATTAATGAATAAGAACAGAAAATACTGTAAAAAATTTCAAGTTCTAAGTAAATAGTTTCTGAGATAAAGGGTCAGAAACGCAGTCAATTTAACATGGGCTATATAGGACTATCAGATCCCCTTAAATAATAGAGAACAGTCCACAATTCATCTAATATACAGGTGTCACATAACTTCCTGTAATTCACCTGTTAAGCACCTGTAATTTTTGAATGTTTGAAGTTATAGTAATGCAAGTTTTCACGAATGTGCATGAGGGAATAAGGCTAATTGATGTATGAATTCTTTTCCACTTTATCGTTTGTATTTTATGAGGAATTAGTGTGCGTGTGTGATTTCATTTTATTTTATTTATTTATTTTTTTTTTCCCCCTCCAAATGAAACTATACATTTTTTATTCTACCATGACGAGCATAAAAAGACAAATCCAATGATGATACATTGTATATTGGATAAATGTATATTGTGATATACATATTTGCAACTCGTATTTAACGGATATTTTGAATGTAAAATTCAATCAGACAAGATCGCGCTGCACTATCCCTGTAAATGTGCACTCGGGGTGTTACAATATTCATTAAATACGAGTTGCAAAAAATCGAAATTACTCAAAAAAATGCTTATCTAACAAGTGACAATTGTATATCGTTGGATTTGCCTTTTTATGCTCGTCATGATAGACAAAAATATGTATAGTTTCATTTGAAAACAAATAATCAAATTTACTTCAGTATTTCTTAAAATACAAGTGATGAAATGGAAATTAATATATGTATGAACTAGCCCCATTCCCTCATGCACTTCTGTGAAAACTGCATTGCAATAACTTCAACCATTCAAAAACTGCAGATGGTGTTAAAGTTACGTGACTCACACTGTATACTGATAAAGCAGTTCTATATGATTAAGAGAAATAAGTGACAGCATTATCAGTGAGGTCCAATTTCACTTTCTCATATATGTATTATGTATAGTGAAAGATATGTGAAGCTGTGGAAAATCAAATCCATGATTTTACCACAAATATACGTTTTGGGGTCCTCTGACATAAAAAAGTATTATTTGTGGTGTGGTGTAGTGGTGGTTGTTTTGTTTCTTTCAAAAATTACACAAATGGAACATTCTTTGTCAAAACGGTCAACAAAATATTGATGGATGGGAAATCATATTTTCGGATTCATCATGAGTTTCTCAAAACCTTAATCTGTGAAAAAAATCCTCTAAATTGCATATTTTCTGACAGGCTGAGACAATATTTTCTCAAATACAATTCCAAATTTTTCTATGAACATTTTTTTATGGAATCATTTTTACTTCTCTATAATATTCTTAAAATCATATTTCAATTTCATTCTTAGGGGACTGAAAAATTAAGAATAAGTAAAAAAACAAACAAACAAAAAAAACACCTTTTACATGCCAATAGAAAGCATATGGGCAGAGGGTGGGACAATAGTTAAAAAGTCTGTGCCATTCTGTAGCACCTCTAGTTTAATTTTGAATTAATGTAATAAGTAAAAAATACATTTTGAAAATAATATTTTTAACAGATACCAACGTTATGAACTTTATAACCTAATTGTTTATGTTGCTAATTAGTAGAAAAGTTGCCAAAAATTCTACTGCAGTGTTTGATTTGGTACTTAAATTAACGTTATATGTATGTGTTTGTGGACAGGTGGATTGACACCCACTCAAGACTCTGCTCCACCTCCCCCACCACCCCCTGCAGTGAGCAAACCGAGTGCCTCTCCACGACCAAGTATATTGCGGAAACGTGACAATGAAGGGTATGTATTCTAATCTGTTGGTTTTGGTTTATGTGCTTATTCTCTATTTCCAAGAAATGTAATTACATTCAGTATTAAATGTTTCAAAATTAGTTAATCAAAGTTCTCACTACATGGAAGGTATAAATTTATTTAAATATCATAGATGCAGTTTTTGGCAGTCTATTTCAGATATCCACATAAATCTCCAATAAAACACCAGTATTGCTCAAATTAATGGGTACATTTTGTTAATTGTAAACTGCAGCCCCTGCTATGAATTCTTGAAGGGGATGACAGCCGATAATACAGAAATAATTCTGTAAGACATATTTAAAGTAACACAAAGTAAATCACAGAAAGTGATTACATTAAGTGTAATTAATTATTACTTGGTTATAATTAATTTATTCACAATAGGCAAATAGGGGTGATCACTTACGCACCATTCTTTTTTCTTCTAATATAAGAGAGAATGAACAAGGAACTAATTTATCCCCAGAATGATTTACTTGGGTTAGCAAGTATAATGTGTAAGTTCAAATTTAAATTGAAGTGTTAATGTCATCATCTTTTAAAATAACTCTTTGGTGAGGACATCTATTTTAAATGTTTGACTTAGCATCTCCAAATAAACGTTTAACAGTAAAAGGTCTTAAAATATTATTACTCTAGCTTTTGCTCTTAAAACATATACATAATTATTCATTCTGGAATTAGGTCACCTATGAAGGCTCAGAAGAACTTAACTCCGATATTGTCATCACTTGGGGCGACACCAACAAGTGGGACAGCATCAAATTCTGGATCTGGAATTGGGGCCGGACCTCCAGTATCTCCTCCTTCTCCTCGGCGCCCAGATTCTAGAGGAGGGGGTGGAGGGAATTCCTCAGGTGGTAGTACTACTATCTCTGCCACTTCTTCACCAGGGTTAGGGGAAGCTTCTGAAGAGGCCACCCCGTTAACAGTGAAGCAAGAGGTCTGCGAAGAAGTTGTCGAAAGGCCTCCTCCAGAGATGAGCCCGCGGAAGAAGCCTCGGAAGCAACAGTTGTAAGTTTCATCCATTTCTATACCGTTACGCATTTACTTCATTCTCGTAAATCTTATTATTTTTTAAACCATAGTTATTTAGAATATGACCTTCAGAATATTGGGCATTGCTCAAAGGTTGTTGTTGTTGGGGGTTGTTGTTGTTGTTTTTCCCCTTCAATTGCTAAGCTGTAGTTAAAAAAATGATAATGATTAAACCAACAGATTGCTTTTGTAATACCAGAAAAGTGAAATTTCTCTATAACAGAAAATATTCAGTGGAAATGATTAGTTTGCTTTTTTCTCAGTGTACACTTGGCATCAAACAAAGATCATGCATTAATTACAATATATCTTACATTATAATGGAAAAATATACTTAGAAAATAGAATGGAATATAATATAACATAAATATAATATAATATAATATAATATAAGAGTTTTACTCAACGTCATTCATATATTTTCACTTGCTCATTATTTTAAAAATTGTAAACGCTCATTTTTTGGTCGCTTAACACACTCTATGTTCACATTAGAACTGAACTCCTCTAAAGAAAATTGTTTTACATGAGCAATGGCCTAAAGCATTCCATTTGCCAACTATGCTTCCATAGTAATGTAGTTACAAGTAATGATGAAAAAGTGATTTTTATCGCATCGCAGACCCCCAAAACGTTTCGTGAGAAGCACCTATTTTTCAGCATTGAAAATATTAAAAATACTAGGAAATTTGTAATACCGAAAAATCTATTTACGGCAAACCGTCTGTGCATTATGCTAGCACATAAACAGTTCAGCGGATTTTCTCCAAAAATGATATTCCTGAACGAACTCGAGGGTTTGTAACTTTAAAATGGCTATCTTGATTTTTGAGGGTACTTTACATGTAGACTAAAAAACATTTTCTCAAAAATTGCACCAAATTCTTTAATTAAATTTTGCTTTTGGTAGCCTAAAGGACGCTTAAGAAAATATTGCAGATCTCACGTTCGTTGAAATCCCTGATTTTTTTCGAAAATTGCGAAAGGGTAATATTCTTGGAAGCATTTTCCTACAACTACAATGTTTAAGTGGTTGTTTTTTTTTTCTTTTCTTTTTCTTTTTCTTGATGAAATCATTCCTTTAAAGCCAGATCGTAAAATTAGGTCGTGTTCAGTTTGTCAAAATATGACTAGTTTTCGTGTACTTTTGCGCGAAATAGTCAATTTTTACTTTCTCGCGTACATTTACATTTATACGGAGTAATAAACTTAGTATAGGGAAAGATAAGTAATGCTGGGCGAAAAAAGGCGGGTTTTCGGCAGAAAAAAAATCATTGACGGGTCCTGAAGACAAAAAAGTGGATAGCGCCTAATCCAGACTCGACCTCTCACGGGCACGGGAGCCCACGTGCTATCCCTACTAGCCCACGAGGAGGTTGTGGAGGGGGAAGCGCTATCACTTTCGCGTTGAGTTTCGTGGAAGCAATGTGAGTATACTGCGATTTATGCAACTCCGCCCCTGTTAGGTATCAGCTGTTGACGATTTCATCCAATCTGGAGCTTGAACGTCACCATAGTGACGTCACTGTGGTGACGTTCATACTCCCGATTATATGAATCAGTCAACAGCTGATACCTGCTAGTGGCGGAGTTGCGAAAATCGCAGTGTATTGCGATGGCTGGGAGAGGAAGCCACAACCCCTTTTTCTGTCTCACCGGATACCGTGTCATCGCCAATGGAGTTGAAAACAATAGATTTGCAGAACTCGTTATTGTGAAGGAAATATATTTTAATACCCGTAAGGGACCACCCATAAATTACGTGAGGCATTTAAGGGGGAGGGGGTCAAGGCAAATCTCACCTAACCTTTGGGGGGGAGAGGGGGGGGGTCTCGGAAATATCACGTTGGGTTTTCTCTCTAAAAACTGCTAGATGGCTAGAAACACTGACACAAGTTAAGTAAAACACGTTTCCACTCTAAAATGTGGCTAAATCATGCACAATAATTTTTATTGTTATGTAATGCTACAATAAGTAGCATAGTGTACTGAGAAAAAACAAAAATTACCTCATTAATGAGATAAATTTTATTACCTTTATCGACCAAACTCTCTCGCCCGAGATGACCTCCACACCTTTGGCTTTCGTCTTTCTTCATTTTCATTTCGGACATTGAGGGGTGGTCAACAAATACGCTGTGGGCGTAGGGTCTGCACCTTTCTCCTGCCCTTATTCGGCAAATTGGTGAACACGAAGACAGTGAAATTAAATTTTATTATACACGAATCCAATGTTAGAGATTACTAATACAGTCTAAAAACATCGATGTTTTTTAATCCTTATATTTTTAACATTCATGTTTTAATTTTGAACACCAATGTTTGCTAACATTGATGCTTTGTTATCGATGTTGCATCACTACTGTGGACAGGTTGCGGACAAGCCGCGGGCCTGCTGGGTTTACTTACCGTTCCCGTGGACTGATTTTCAATGATTAATTGCAATTACAATTATTGCATTGTAATTCATTCTCTGTTTCTAAATACTAGTCATATCTAGTCTTAAATTTAATTAAACAAATTATGTTTTTAAATATATCCCAATGCAATCAATCACGAAATAACTATATGCATTTTGAAAAATCTCACGTTAGATTAGATGGGATGAGGGGATTCCGAGTCAAATCAACATAACACTGGGGGGGGGATCGAAAAATTGCCTCGTGTATTTTATTGACAGTCTCAAATTTGTCACGATGGTATCAGAATTTACTTACGGAAGTCTTCCCGAAGCTTCATAAAATACAGCAATGACAATATTTATGTTTGGAACAACATATGTTGTGAGCAGCTTTTCTCTGCTCACAAAGAATCCAAATTCAGGACAAGACCTTGAAGAGTTTATGCATTGCAACAGCTCAAGGACTGACACCAGATATTGCTTGATTTGTTAAGAAAATTTGTCCCAAAATTAATTTCATAAAATAGTATTGTTGAATTGAATTGAATTTTACGTTTCCTGTTAAACTTAAAGATTTTTTCTTAAGTATGAGCCCTGGTATGCCCACCGCTCCCTGCTTCGGTTATCAGAGGCGAATTGCTACCGAAGGCCAAGGCCAACTAGCGCCCTAGGGGCTTATAAATTTGACAGGCACAGACAGCAATGTTGACAGCAGTCTATGCCCGCCAATGCCTGAGGTAGCTCGCGGGCGCCCACCAGTCTGCCCGCAGGCAGCTTAGTTGTGACAGCCCGGCCTCGAACATACGTACGATTTTTCCCCCAAATGGATATTCCCTGGTCGATCTGGCTCCACTCAAAGCGCCGCGATTTTGAAAAACTTTCTTCAAAATTTGATTTGTTTTTCTTCAAAAAACTTTATATGTAGCACCCCGAACATTTTCAAGTTTTCTCAAAAACAGCTTTTTCTTTTCTTTCTTTCTCTCTCTCCCTCTCTCTCCTCCCTCCCTCTCTCTCCTCTCTCCCTCTCTCTCCTCTCTCCTCTTTCTTCTCCTCTCTCTCCTCTCTCTCTCCTCTCTCTCTCTCTTTCCTCTCTCTCCTCTCTCTCTCTCCTCTCTCTCCTCTCCCTCTCTCCTCTCCCTCTCTCCTCTCCCTCTCTCCTCTCCTTTATCTCTCTCTCTCTCCTTTATCTCTCTATATCCTTTCTCTCTCTCCTTTCTCTCTCTCTCTCTTCTGAAAAGTAGAAGGGGTCTTTCTGTAAAAGAATTACACAACACTATTACATAAAGATATAAATATTCCAAAATTATGTTTAGTAAAACAAATAAGAGAAAATGTTCAAAGTATTCATAAAGAAAATTTGTTTACTTAGTAATAGGTTCCTGTAGTCTCTTTGTTCACTACACAATCAACCGTCCCTTCAAAAGATGGTTTATCTTGTATTAAATAAAAAATTACACCAGAAGACCTTATTTTTATTTACAGGTCCATTTATACTTAAGGTCTTAGATTGCAGATCTATTCACCGAATTTTATTGTTTGTACTTCTTCACAAGTGCAGGGAGGGGTTGTCCGATTTTGCAAATATTGTTTGGATAACTCTCCGCATCACCTGTACTACACTGTACAGGCAGTACCTGAATAGCGGAAAATTAGATTTTCATTTTCAGTACATAGTTCAGTGTCACTTTTGATTAAATTCAACAAAGAGTTTGGTTTATTAAACATTTCTGAAGCAAATGCTGTTAAGTCAAAAATATATTGGTCACTCATTGCACTTTAAATGGATTTACAAGTCTAGTCAACTCCAGTAATTTGAACCAATTTTTAAAGCATGTGAATTACATTGATTCATACATGACTTATTCATTTCTTTTTTCTCTTCAATTTTCAATGTGACTTGAGGTTCCTGTCACAGGTAAAAAATATGGGAGCTAAAAAGAATTGTCTGATTTTTTCTGCAAATCCATGCTGAATTTGATCAGGCCAAAGGGTCATAGAAAACAAATCGTTTGATAACTATTGCTTTCAAAACCTTTTTGTAACCTTTGTTTCCAAAATGTTTCATGGATTGCTTCTATGTTGAGGTTAAGAAAAGTCTCATTCTTTAATTCTTTCTCAGGAACTAATTTACTTGAAGTTGACACATTCTTGAAACTTTCTTGTTCACTTTCTTAAATTTTGTTTCACTTTGTTGTACGTACTTAGAATAGACTATCAATATAATTTAGATTGTAAGTGTAATCTAGCGAGAGGTCTTTTTGTTGTTGATGTTTTGTTTGTTTGTTTGTTTGTTTGTTTTTTTAAGAAGAATTTGGTTTAATCAGGAGATAAGTATTTAAATGAGTTTTGGCAAGCGAGTGTTAAAGTAAGGTTAGTTACATACTATAGTAAGTTATTGTTATTATGTTTATTTTTACAGAACTGGCAATGAATTGCACGAACCAAAGTTCAGTGAAGATGAAATGGAATTCATCTCAGAGGAAAGAATAAAGAAGGAGGTGAAAGAAGGTAGGCTGAGGGAGGCGGAGGAAACAGTTTTACGTATTTCCAGTGAGTTTCTTTTCAATAATCAGCACGCTCTTTGTAGGTTGATCAATGTAAGTGCCTGGTACAAATTTGATTGATTTTAGATTTGTTTTTCACATCCTATCACGTCTTGTTTATCTGAGTACCGACGTAGCGTGGGCGTTGGTTGCATGATACCTTTCAGCATGTTCTGAAATGTATTTATTTGCAACTGGAGAGTCTAATAGTACAATCCTACAGTTTGTCTTTATTAAATCCAAATAACAGGGTTCAGAAAAATATAGACAATTTGGAAAGAAGCTGTTTCTGCTGAGATTATAAAGGAATTTGGTGTTTCCTGCAAATCATAATCATCATCAGACCCATAAGAATAAAAATTAATACACGGTTTATTTCTGAATCCTGTAGATGCCCCTAATAACCAAGATGGTTGTGATTTGTCATTGTCTCTTTGTACATGTATGCCAGGATGTAATTGCAAGATCAGAAAATCATATGAATATCATGAAATAAAACTGAATTGTTACATTTGAATGAAAACCTCAAGATGGAGAAAAAAGTTTATCTCGTTTTTCAAATAACGTAACAATAACAGTGTAATCAGATGATTGGCTTCAAATACCAAATTAACTAAAACAATCTACATCACCAAAAGCAAAATGAGGTCACAGCACAAACAAGGAAAAGCAGAGTTTGAATAGTAGAATTTGGGGGTTTTAAGTTCAATTATTAAGGCAAGCTCTTTGGACAAATTCCTAGAAATATATAAAACAATAGAGTTAATCAGGCTACTTCAGAAAAATGTGACAGACAAACCGTAGTAAAAACATACACTTCAAAGCTGATTTTACTGCATAGTGTTACAAATGTAACTTACAAACCATGGTTAATATAATGAATTAGTGGTCGTATTCTTGGCATCCGAAGTGAATTTGCTAGGAAATTCAGACTGATGAAAGTTGTGACGAAGCTCACAGTACCCCCTCTCCTGCCAGTGCATGATCTTGAAAGAACTTTCTGGTTTAGTTGGAGTATAAATCCGACCACCGAAGAGGATAAAGGATATATTTTTTTTAGCAAAAACTTCCCAAACTTGGAAACTTGCTGCTTTGTCCCACTTTACCCACGAAACGGAGAGACAGAGATGTACGAGTTCAATTCGTAATTCGAACACATGAACAGCAAACTATTCTAATTTCAAGTTTATTTTGTTAAATGTGAAAGTGAATGAACTGAATGTAAAAGAACTATAAACAAAACATCAACAGGTGCGGGACAGATAGAATATCTGGTGGTAGAAGGGAACGTTCCTGTGGCGTTTAATGAAAACCAAGAACAACACAAAACTTTCAGAGGTTCCTGAAAGTCAGATGTTGCAGAATGAATGGAGGACCAAAAAGAATGAAACATTAGCGCTTCATCACGGTGCCGAGGGTGAGCGCATTGCAAGGCGGCTTTTAGTGAAAGGTGTCGTCAGCGGCATCTCAGGGGCAGGTAGCAAGCTGAGCGAATCTAGCAAGGTCTGTTGTGGGAACATCTTAGTTCAGACAGCATTGCGCTCCCCAACTCTGGAAACGTGCTCTTTCCTGAGAATGCATCACTTCACGGCAATAATAATAATAATAATAATAATAATAATAATAATGATAATAATAACAACAATAATGATAATAACAACAACAATAATGATAATAACAACAACAACAATAATATTAATATGAAAATTAAAATAACTACACTCACTACAGTTTCATTTATTTACATCAATAGTAAATTAATCATCAATTAATAGTAGAACATAATTGAAAATAAGGTAGAATAATTTTGTTTAGAGATACTCTTAATGATTTTCTATTGTACAATAGCTTTTAAAACAAGTGTCAGTGTTAATTCTAACTTTCAATCTGGGCACCAGAATGTAGGCTCTCAACGTTTCGCATTCTTGTGATTATCACACATTCTTTCTATTGTTTAATTTTGTCGCATTGAGGTGGAATTCATTCTTTTCTTTTCCTGACAAGTAATGTAAATCACACACCAAATGACGTTCACATTCTGCTGTTTTGTCTTGTGAATTAGCCGATAACAATTGCTCAACCAGATCAAAAAGAAATTTCAAAGAATCGATTCTTGTCCCAGTATGATTCTTTTTCCAAATAATAAATATTTACAGTTAAATTTTACACAGGTTACACAGTTAAATTTAATAATCTTATGAACATTTTCATATTCCATTTCTTACTTTTTTTCCCTTCAGTAAGGTACGTTTGCAAGTACTGATCTTTCAGATCTACCCCTCCCATAGATTTATTGTAATCGAGAACACATGCTGGTTTTTAAATTTCTTCTTTTCTCTTTGTAATGACTTTTGCATTCATCTTTGTAATAGGTGCTTATCATAGAAACAATCTTTTTATCCATCCATTTCAACACTGAAAGGGGTCTGATAGTTTGGCGATGTACTCACCTTGCTTCTATTTCTTTTCCTGCAATAGTTTAGGAATATTTTTTCTGTACAAATGTAATGTTCCTACACAACCTATTCCCATTTTTTTGACATCGCAACTAAAGATGGAGAGATATAGTCATTGCCCATCCATAAAGTGTGGCCCTTATTTAGCAATGGCTGTATTAAATTTAAGGCAATTTCTGTTGTTTTATTTATAGCATGTCTGACAGTTGCAGTCATTTAAAGTGTCAGTAGTACATAGAAGACAATGTATTGTAAACTAGTTGTTTATATAGAAAACATCCATGAAAAAATAGAAACACTTTAATGCGTATTAACTACCGTATTATTGACACCGAAAACTCGCCATAACACACTACTTCCCTCCGTCACAGCGCTGGCAAGTGACCAGCGTCTATAGACGGTACACAGCAAAGGACAGGACAAGGACTTCTGTCCTGAGACAGCTACTGTGAATGGAAAGGAAAATTCAGCCCGTCCAGGTACGGCATACCGTGTTTAGAAGAGAAAGGAAATTGCCATCTACAAACGGCATACCAAGCTGAAGGGTTAATATACATAAAGATGGTGATGATAGAGACAAAAATCATGATTATAATGATTTTAAGTAACAAGAAATTTCATTTTAACTTAACAGTAATAATTAGTTTAAAAAAAAAAAAATTATCCAAAGACGTCTTCAAAACAAGGGGGTCACCTTATATTCAGGTAAATACTGTTGACTTGTCAATATTTTCAAAAGTAATTATCATATGTTTTGAAGTGTTTTAGAAATGTTCCCCCTCTGAGTCTTGTTTCTCAGCAAGAGATGCAGCTGTTGATTTTTATTTATTTTTATTCTTGTTGTAAATTGTTTGAATCTTGGTTTCAAACTTTCTTTCAATGAAGTGTTATGTAGTCTGTATTTTTAATTTTTGTGACTTGAGATTTAGAATGTCTCTTTTAACTGTGTAGTTGTTTGATCCTACAGCCAGTAATGCAAATACTTTTGGCTGTCCTGGTGACTACATGTTTAGGGCTATAATGATGTTTTGGCAGTCATGACCTGTTCCTCCATAGGGCTGAAGTTCATTTCATTCTGAAGACCAGAATGTGATGGTGAAAATAGGCATCAGAGCCTACAGCATGGCATCACCTAGGACAACACAGAGCATGCATTTTCAACATCTTTTCAAATAATTTTGTTATGTTTAAAACTTTCTTCTCGGACAAAATGTAAAGAAGAACTGAACAAAATTAATTTTTCAAACCAGATTATTCCTGAAGTTCTAAAAAGTACCTAGATATCATAAATTTTGCTAAGAAGGGTGTTCTATTACTTAACTGTAAGTATGAAGTCAACGATAGAAAGAAATCCTAAGAAAGATTCATTGTGTTGGAATGAGTATATTAAGTAAGACATGAAGTACTGTAATGAAGTTGTTCTTCAAAGGTTTTCTGTGAAATAATTCATGCAGTGGTGTCAGTATGTTTTGAATTTTAGGTCCAAAGGATCACATGTTACAAGTTAGTTGTTGCTTAATCAGTTGATAGAACACAGTGTCTGGTAAAATAGTTATTATAGAACTTCTACTCTGTCAATTGCTGTAGTTTTGCATGTTTTTATTCAAATTTCAATCAACCAATCCATGTGAAAATTCCATTCTTTGTTAACCATTAGTCATTTCAAACCAAATAATCAATTCAATTTGACATAATTTTTCCATAATAATTTCAATATTTTGCCGATTTATTTTTTTTTAAATAAATTGTTTTTTTAATTTAAAAAATTGTATTATTATTTGTATTATTATTATTATTAGTTACAATGTTTATGGAAAATGTCGGTTCAGCTATTCTTCTCATTCATGCTTGCCTTAGTGTCATGTTTTGTTAGTGATTATTCTTTTTAATTTATTCTATTGTGAAATATTGGGATATTACTTTATTTGAATTAATCAACACAATTGAAATCAATTTATTTTTATTAAATTTAATTTTCATTTTCAGTTCCACCACCTGAAGAACACATAGAGAAACCTCCACTTCCTCCAGCACGACGGCGAGGCCTTACACTCCTTGCTGGGTATAGGCACAATTGGAAATCTCGGCACAACCACTATGTAAGATATAGTGATGTACGGCCAAAAGATGAACGAAGACCCACTGTGTCAGAACTTGCTGCTCAAAAACAAGTTCTCCAGAAGCTGGAAGGCTGGAAAGTTCACCATTTGAGCACTCAAATGGAGGAATTGGTTGGTTTGATTAATTAATTACCATCTTTCTTATATTGTCTGTGGTATTAATAATTTGAGAGGATTTCTAATTTACTTCACTTACATTAAGATTATTATTAATAGTGTTTTACACAAGTTTTAATGGAATGTAATTTATTTTCAGTCTGAGTTGGAGCAACAGGTTTCTGAAAGACTAACTGGAATTCTTAAGCTCATGGAAAAGAGAATGGGAAAGGAACTTGAGAAAGACATAAATCGAATAAATGAACTTATTAAGGTAAGAATATAGAAAAGTCATGTGCCCAAACTATCAATGATTTATTTTGAATGCATCTCAACTTTCTCAAACACTTTACACCAGAAACATATGGTGTAAATAAAAATGGTTTAAATTTTCTTCCCAATGTCACATAGAACTACATCCTATTAATAGAGTCAGATCTATAGATATTTGTGCACTTCTTGCCTTCTAAATTGACTCTGGCATTAAGCAGTCAAGAAGTGAAATTTCAGAGTGAAGATAATTATAGGTAAATAATAAGTACAAGGTTGATTTATCTGTAATTTTTCTTTCTTTGTAGGGTAACATGCAGCGTAGTAAAGTGACTTCTGATCAAATGCAGGAAGCAAAAAGTCAAGTAATGAAGATATTTGAACATAAGAATCACGTTGCAGATATAATTAATCGATCAGGAAATAAACGATCCTTAAAAAAACGTGAGAAATCGTAAAAGAAAAACTATAGTAATTATGTATGTAAGTAGCTATGAGTGTTAGAAAATGTGATGCTGACTGTACTGGAAGTGATTGCTTTCAATGTTGCAAGGATTTTAATCAGAAGAATTAAGAGAGTGTGAAAAAAGTTTATTCATCGTTCTGAAGAATACAAGACTCGTTGAAAGATTATTGAAAATTTGAGTCAGTATTGTGCAGAATCGACAACTAAAATAGTGCAATTTACCAAGATAATTAATTTGTTTATGCATTGAAAGGCTGTCTGTAAGATCTGAAAATCATTGTTTATCAAGATTTGCTATCTACTTCTGAAATAAATGGTAAATATATCTTAAAGTTCCTGTATTGCAAAATTACAGAATGTGTGCAGCGATGTCTTAACACCTCAGTTTGTATTTTATAAGCAAACTTTAACAAGCTGAAAGTAGATGTAAACATTTCACTGAACTTATTAATTCCACAAGTTTTCCCACAGATTCAAGTAACCTGTGTTCATTTAATTTCCTTTTGTATTCATTGTAGGAATCTTCAGAAATTTTGTTTGGAGCCTACTGATAATTGCAACATAATGCTAAGAAGTTGCGTTTGCTTATCTAAGTTTGTAAATATCCACAGGATTCTGATTCAATGAATGGAAACTTGTAGTAAATGGCTGTGTCCAAATGGCTCCAGAGAAAATACTCAAAGTAATGGAATGAGTCGTATAGTAATTGGACTTTCTAGACAAAGTGTGACAGTTTATGTTATGTCATTGGTATTTACTTTTTACATTGTTATTGCCACAGAAAATGAATGTAGGAATTTGGATCTGGATAAGATGGGAAAGATTTTCACCTTAAGGAAAAAGAGGCAATGTCCGTTCCCCTTCCCCTCACTTTTTCAGAAAAAATTGAAGTAATGGATTGTGAGAGACTTGTTGATGTTTGATGTGCATAATTCCCAACCACATTGTGAATAGTGAAAGGTTTACTAATACTGAGGACAAATATCACTACTTTTTCTCTTTTGAGTTGTTTTCCTTCATGAAATTACAAGTCTTTTTCAGAAGTAGATTTTATGGATTTTAAAGTATTTAATTTATTTATTAAGTGGAAGACTGCATTATAATACCCTGCAGTTAATATGGTGGAAAAAACATGCATGCGCAAATAAATTAAGATACATATGTTTTGTTCAATTTGGTATACTACACACCACATGGAAGACTGTCACAAGTCATAACAAGCATTTCTGTAAAAGCATTTAAAGGTACTGAGCCAATAGGAAGAATTCCAAATATTACTTTAGAAAAGTGAAAGAATGTGATGTATGACAAACTTACAACACTCTTTTGTAAATATGACATAAAATACAACACTTCTGATGGTTTATATTTTAAATGAATGTGATAAGAAATAGCAATTTTTTCAGAAATAACTCAATACAGGGATTTCTTAGCACCAAATAACCCAGAACTGCTTTTTTTTGATTTGTAGCAATCTTCCAACAGGAATGCAACATGTAAAATGTTCACATCCTTCTTCCAAAGTTGAAGGTAAAATGACAGCATTTCAGTGTAAGCCCTTTGTATTGTAGTGAGACTACAGTAAAGGAGCTTAAATGTATAAAATATATTTTAGGGAATAGGTCATTCAATGCAAGAACTGTTACGTGGAACACTAAAAGATGTTGGCTTGTGATTTTGTGTCTAAGAGTATTATGTAGTGTGTCAACATTTGAAGAAACTTAAACAAGACAATTCTGTATTGCCATGTACTGTGTAAATTAAACTATTTTTCCATTTGTATGTGGGTCTACCCAATATTAATTACTGGATGTTTTATATTTTGTGGAATATTCCTGTTATTTGGATACAGTGTGTACTACAAAGAATTTGACAATTTCATGAATTGGAAGGGGGGGGAGGAATAAATCTTCCCAATACCATCAGATAGTGTAAACATACATGCTGTGTGTGGTCAGTGTCTTTTCTTACCCAAGAAGGCCACTTTCTGAAAAAACGGGAAATCTCAGGGAATTTCATTGCTCTGGAAACGTCCGAGAAAATCATGAGACCTGTAAAACTAGATATTATTCCTTAAAGACAGTTCAGCATAGGTTATTGATAGAATTTTTATTTGTACTTGTGTGTCAAATTTGTGAGTTTTTTGAGAAAATATTGTTTATTTGTACTTTGTCACAGTGAAGCATGACAGCCATTGCACTGCATTATCTTCAGCACGGGGAAATTAGTGTTAGTACCACATCGAACTAAAAAAGATGATTCGAACTAAACACTGTCAATAAAAGCAAAATTAATCTCCAAAACATCCTGAAACAATGTTCTTGGAATTTCCAAAACACCCAATAAACATATGGATTTGTCAAATTTACACATACAAACTTAATATGAAAACTGTTTGTCCCACATGTAAAGAGACATTTTAAAAAATGGTAACTTTTTGATGAAAATGATCACTGTAACAAAAATGTTTTTAAAATGGTCTACATTCAATTAAATTTCATAAAGCAGCCGGTGACACACAAGCTTTATGCCCTTTTGATCTCTGCACTATACAACTCTTCTCTTTTCCTCAAAACCTCTGTAAAATTACAATTATTGGCATGTTCCTTGTGGCCCTAACATCGTGAAAAACCCTCGCCAGTACCAGGAAAGTATTATATCGCATTTAATGTTGGGTTTCTCGTACAAAATGCACGGCTAATCTCGCAGTTCGTCCGACGATTTCTCATATAGTTACTATCTCAGACTATAATATATCAGTATTGAATAAATGAGAATAAAATATTCTACTAAATACAAGGGTAAACACATACAAAACAAAAGATAGCCCATCCACAGCGTAATCTACATTTTAACTGGCATACGTGTTCTTTTATTTAAATGCATCGGAAGTCTAGATATTGGCTACCAGAAATTCAAGGAAACTATATTATATAACCAACCGCTGTTAGTATAATCAAAGCTATGAGCTGGCTGAGATTCTACACACTGCGTAATAACCAATAACGGCCTCCGGTACAGTTCTCATTTACTGTATCATTCCGCCTTTAAAAATAGTTATCTTACAACTAAATTCACTTCAATCATAAGATGGCGATTATAAAATAAGTACCTAATTTTTAAAAAGCACAATTATTTTATTTTCCGGAGAAGTATGTGAAACTTTCTCGAGGTTCAGGTTAGTTGCCCAGGTTAGTAACGATCTGAAAACGAGCGTCCCATCGCAGGTTAATAAGGAATCCGAGTGCGTGATGGCGAGTGAAGCGAACTGAAGCTGATCAGAACGAATCTTGTTGAACTGCGTGTGGTACAGTCCGTGAATCTACAAGAATCGACTCACAAATATAAATTTTGAAAATTAATTTGTGACGCAAGTTAAAATAATTTTTACAATGGACTATACTCCTAAAACGGGAAAGAAGCGTAGTGCAATATGGCATTTTTTCACCCCGTCAGGAATCAACAGAGCAAAGTGCGATACTTGTACTGCTGCAATTTCCATAAGTGGGGGTTCGACCGCGAATTTAATTCGTCATATTCGCAAAAAACACCCGGAATTTTATGTCTCAACAATTCGACCGAAAAGCGAAGTGAAAAGTGAGTTGGCAACAATCATTCTTGCACCTTCAGATGATAAAGTTCCAACGATTTCTCACATTGAGGAAGTTCATGACGGTGTACAAGACGTTGTTCAAGAAGTAATTCATGGTGTTGTTGACGAACACAGAACAGGAAGCCCCGGACCGCCTTCTCCAGATGGGAACCCAACAGGCCCTACAATAGCAGCAGTTTCCCGACCAAGTTGGATTTACAACACTAAAGGTCCAGAAATTGTAAGAGACATACTTGTTGTGTTGTTTGTTCTTGATGCACCTGCAGTTGTTGCTGAAGCAAAACTTAGACTATATAATTTTGGCAATATGAATTTTGGGAAGAAACATCTTGCAAAATTGCTCATTGACATGTGTAAAAGCAGTAATTTATCTTCCCATGAATTTTCTGCTTTTGGTATCAATGTGATTCGACAATTTAATGCTTGTGAATGTGATGGTGGGCAACGCATTTTGAAACATGATTGTGAGTTCCTAAGATTCATGGAGTTCTGTAAAATGATCAGAGAAAGTGATGATGAAAATTTTGTAGAGTTAGTTAGTAATTATTGTTGGATTGAATCAGAGGATATGGACTATTTCATTTTCAAGTGAATATTCAAATTAGTTGTTTACAGAATCCATGGAGCATGTGTTTGTTGTACTGTAATAAATCATTATGTAACGAACGATAGTGTTTCTAAAGTCTAATCCCTACCTGAATAATTCCTATCACCAAGAATTAAGTTTATTGTGGTTTTCTCATATGTGAATAAAAACCTCAAGCTCCCTCACTAAGAAGAGCTTCAGCCACTATCATTTTTGTCATTGATGAGAAGTAAACATAAATAAAGAATAGCAATGTTCACAGACATAGTTAACTTGTCAATATATTAACACACTCAGAATGCACAAGAAGTATCCTTATTTTGACATTCATAACGTCATAAATCGTAATTGAAAAGCCAAGAGTTCTATTTGTCACTTCGTCACACGTAACGTCCCACTCTTATAACACTCTTCAATAGTCACCGAATTCGTATCACCACCCGGCTATTGTCAAATATCAACTCCGCTACCATTTGCTTTCGTTTCTTCGCTTTATATTGTAAAGTTTACAACGCAGCCATGATGCGAGGATCGTTTCCATTTCCATAATTTTGTTCGTCGATTCCATTTTATCGAAGGAGATCGCCGAGTTGTCACGTAGGAATGTAATCGATTCCTTAAATCGATCCCTGTGTATATGTGTATTAGTCCCGCTATCAATGCGAGTTTTGAGTGAGCGGTTCATAGCTGTAATTTATTTTAGCATTGGATTATACATTACATAGAATATGTAACTATCGTTTTCGGGATGCAGTTTCCGTCTCTTTCTATTATTTTCTCCGGATTATTTATAGGGTATGTTTTACATTCGATTTGGACTTTAGGACAGTTATTCATACCACCATCATGTCAACCTAAGGACAATTGCATTAAATCTTATCTTAACAACAACCCGAAGTTACAGGTATGTCCTCTTTATTTTTTTATTTTTTTAATTAAGTAAGAATAAAATTGATTTGAATTTTCATGTTTTAGCTCTATCTCTATACATCAGTTACACCACATCCTAATAGGGAACGTGATGCAGTTTTCATTGACAGTATACAAGAATTTGATTATACAAAACCAACTGACAGGTATCGATATTTGTAAAGTGATGTTTTGTATGTTGAAGTTGTTTGCTTCTTATTTAATTTCTTTTCTCTTACCCCCACATCAGAGAATTGTCAATTGTTTTACCTGAATCGACGAAGAAGAATGGTACTTTATACCTTCATCTATTTTTAACCAGTCAACAACATAATATGCCAAAATATTCCAATCATTTTCAAGATGCGTTGACAGTCCATACAAGAGTCCGTCTCACTCAGTATCATGTACCTGAAGCAGCTACATTCCAATTACTAGGGGGACAAAGGATGACGGTGAGTTCATTAATTTAGAGATCATATATCTTAATTTGCCTTTGTTGTAAGTTTTGAATGTAATTTTTTTTTTTTTTCCAGGACACTGAAAAACATAATTCAAATAAGAGAGCCTCCAAACAACCTCCAGTGACACATATGAAAACTCATGTTACATTCAATATCCTAACTGATAATATAGCCTTTCCTAGATCTAACGTACCTCCTGAACTGATACAATTTCTGAGGTAAATTTCCTTGATAATCACATAGATATTTTAATGTATTTGTTTTTATTTGTGCTAAATATTTTATAAACATATTTCAGTATTACTTCATCCGGTGAATTTCTTCCTATTGTGCAGTATGATTTTCTAAATAATAGATTACGTGATCTTGTACCCGTGATTAATCTGTCTGTTAGCAATGTTACATTGTCCTATATGCCAACTGGTATAGGAAAACTCAGGTAATTCTTAAAATAATTGTATGGATTTAATTTTGAAATGTTTAGTATTATTTTAAGTAATGAAATTATTTTCAGGTTAATGCAGCATTTGGAAACTGCTCTTCACTCATTGATTTCATTTGGTTTTTCTCCTAAAGACATTGATGAAGTCAAGAGTATTTTTGCAGATACTAATATGTATCTCCTAGGACTTACTATTTTTGTTGCAGCAATCCATGTATGATTTATCAATAATATATATCTAGTTCTTAAATGTTATACTACGATAGTTATATAATAAATATAAATTGCTTTCTCTTCAGTTGCTGTTCGATTTCTTGGCCTTTAAACATGATGTAAATTTTTGGCGTCAGAAAGATTCATTTGCTGGACTGTCTTGCTATACAGTTGCCTGGAGAGCTTTTAGTCAAACAGTTGTTTTGTTATATCTTTTGGATGAAGATACATCTTTGTTAGTTTTAGTACCATCTGCAATTGCTACTCTTATTGAAGTAAGTTATGATTTCATTTTTATTATAAAATAATGATAGTCAAGGTTTTCTTGTGAAAAGTTTGAAAAAAGGTTTATTCCCATAAAAAAATCTCAAAATGCCAACAAAAAAGCTATAAATGTAAATTATACTAAATGACTTGTTTTCATTAGATTTTTTTTGTTACTTTATATAATTGGATAGGAGGAGATGATTTATGGTAATGAAGAAATCAGAGTAGTGTTGCTTTTTAATTTTTTTTAAAATTGGGATCCTCTTATTGACATCTTTCTGATGTGTTTCAGATTTGGAAACTGCAAAAAGTTGTTTGCATTAACATCACTTTCTGGTTTTCTATACTTCCTGTCCCTAAAGTTTCGTTTCGTGGCTCTACTCAAGCAGAACAATATACACAAAAACTAGATGCTCAGAGCATGCGTTACTTGAGTTACCTATTGTATCCTCTTTGCATTGGAGGTGCTGTGTATTCACTATTATATCAACCTCACAAAAGGTAATTTAAAAAAAATTGCATTTGTTAAACTTAAGTTTCAATTGGCCACTTTTTGTGGATGCTGTGGAAAGGGTGGAGTGAGGTATTAAACATTATTTCAGTTGTAAAAGTCCTGTTAAGTGCTTTTGCGTGAAAACTGAGTTTCATGTATTGGAAGTCGTGGAGAAAGTTTTCATACATTTTCGAATGAAGCGAGGGCATTGTTGAACCATAGCCCTTTCATATGCATACTAGTAGACAATGCCTTAGGAGGCATGGCAAAGAAACCTTCCACTTTTCCCAGGGAGGAGCATGATTTACCTTGAGGGAACTGAAAAAGCTGACATGCCTCGTGTTTATGCAAAAATATGAACTGTAACAATAATCAGTAAGGGTTTATTATTGTTGCATTGTTCTTCAAGTATATTTTTTTTTTACCGTAGATGTAATTGTTCTGAATTTTTAAAAAAAATAGCAACATTTCTGAATTATTTACATCCAGGTTTCTCAATACTTTTCGCAATTATTAGCTCTTTGAAAGAAACCTATCAAAATAAATATTTATTTTACATACTTGTTAAAAATGAATTAATCAATAATTTCAATCAAAGAAAGTTTTTAGAAATGGATTTCAGAAACTTGTTTTTTCCTTAATCTTGAGGAATGTGGTATATAGTACCCCAAAACCAACCAGTATCACAAAAGTTTGAAATAAGAGCTAGGGAAAAAGAAGTTATAATTAGATACATTTCTCAGTATCTATGTACACACTGTAAAAGTTAAAGAGTTAATCCTATTTTGCTTTGAGGCAAAATGTTTTGATATTAACTACAGTTTTTTCGTGGGAAAGTTGATCATGCCTCTGTAACTTTCTTCAAAATACGCTGCAACTCTAAAGATGAGTAGAATTTACTTACTGTCACTCATAAAATCATTGAAGTGGACCGAACGGTTTAAGGCAAGTTTCTCTCAGGGCATAAATTACGTAGTGCCAAAAGGAGTAAAGGGGGTTTGAGGCAACATAAAACTACTCTACATAGGGGTTGGAGGTGTTAGTTTAGTTTTACGGAATACTATTTATTTTCTTAATTTTTCATTACTTACATAAACAATTCCTTTCATTCGGTCTTATAATACGACAAAAAAAGATAAAAATGTATTTAAAAATACATGAAATCATAAAAAAAGTTATGATGAATAATTTTTATAATAAATAAAAATATTTTTTCATGAATGGTATGTCAATTAAATCTGTTAGATTATGAAGGAATTATTCAAAACTAATAAATTCTAAAATCCTGTTAAATTAGTACTGGAGACTGCCAACCTGTGTCATCCTCATCTGAAACTGCCCAGCTTCTCGGCAGAAATTTTCACGAGTCATTGTTGGTGTTCAAAGAATTACATTTCTCACAATAAAACTGAAAAATTTCCTATCTTCTCCCCTCCCTCCCTTCATTCACTGTGACAAATGGAGTTAAATTTAGTTGTTATTAAAAATGAAGTTGATGGCACATGTTATGTATTTTTATTATAAATAGGGCAGGGGGGAGCAAGCTTTACATAATTTGCTGGGGAGAGGGTATCTAAAATACTCCTAATTTGCTTTATGTGATTCATTGATGACCCTTTATTGCAAATTGACTAAAGATTACAGTTTTGTGTAAAGTTAGGAGCTTGAGAGTACAGAACAAAAAGGTTGTAAAGTGAGTAAAATTCACTTAAGGTTAGTATTGTAAGGTAAAAAATATTATATTCAGTGTTTGAATACAATAAATTACTGTAATATGAGGCATCAGATGTTTCATAGTTATCCTTTTCAACTGAATTTCATTTTGATAACTATTATGTTCACCATACGGTGAAATATATCCAGTATTATTTCACCATACAGTGAAACGTACATTTTGTGTGGTTGTAGCAGGCTTCTTGCTTAACTATCTATGTTAGCATTTCCTGCACGACCTCCAAAGAGTTAATTTTTATTTCATAATGCACCATAATTACATTATTGTGATTACTCTGTTTTCATGTGCTGAAATAACAAAAGAAATAGCCTTAAGGAATTTAAATTGTAGTTATAGACCTGTAATATTCTATTATAGTGTACTAACTTTCTCTGTTCTGCTCCCTTGTTATCATGTGTAGGGTTTAACGATTAAATTGCTAATTCAAAAAGAATTATTTCTTTATCCACAGCTGGTATTCATGGAGTGTCCATAGCCTTGTGAATGGAGTATATGCCTTTGGTTTCCTATTTATGTTGCCTCAGTTGTTTGTGAATTACCAGTTGAAATCTGTAGCACATTTACCTTGGAGAGCATTTATGTACAAGGCAAGTGGATTCTTATTTTGTAGTGTTTATAAGAGATTGTAATAAAATTTGTTACAATTAATTTAATCTGTGTTTGCAGGCTTTCAACACATT